GGAAACCACAGACAGAAGCTAGAAGGCAGCTAGAAACGGGTGCCAGCAATTGCCCATTGGCACCGGTACACAATGGCCTATTCTTGTGAAAGACGTCACGGGATCTTTAACGTCCACTGTGAAGCAGATGGAGAATATGTTTATGCTCTATCTGCTTTACAGTATTAACCAGGGCGGCCTCTGGAATTTAACAGTGAACCTCCGCAACAAGCAGCGAAGGCGCGACCCCAAGACCATGCATTGCTTTGCTGGAACACTACCTATTGCTGTAATAAATAATGTAACTAGAAAATAGTGCAATGATTTTATATAAAATTATAAAATAGTAATATTTTAAAAGGCATTCATGTAATTACCATCATCCTATTCCTATTTAAACTTTTTTTTCGATCTTACGATGTAAGGCTCACTTGATTTTTATCACTATTTTTCAGAAGCGACCTGGCCACAAATGATAGCTCAACGAAGTCGCTTATCATGTGGACATTTATATCAGCCAAATACTCTAAACACAAGCTTCTAAATGTGGAGAGAGAGAAAAAATTAACCCGTAAAAACAAAGTTTTTCACTATAAATCCTTTATATGCGTGGCACCGGTTTTATTTTATTATTTATTTCTGTTTTTCTTGAGTAAGAGTTTCATTTTTATCACATTGGTATTTTAAATTAAATATGAAAAAAAAAATTTCCTAAAAAGTGGAAAATTTTTGAAAAAAAATTTCACGAAAATAAATTGTCACGCACAACGAGTCTGTGTACCAAAATGTCAGCTCGATTGGATCACGGGAAGTGGGTTAAAAAACGACCGAAAGATTTGCACGGTCGTAAGCGCGCAAGCAAGCAAGCAAGTGAACTTAATATAAAGGATTTAAAAAACCGGAGGACCCGGAGAAAAATCCACGCCACTACTGGGAGAGAAACATGCAAACTCCCAATATACAGGCATCAGGATCGGGATCGAGTCGGCCAGCGTACTGGCGTCATTGTCCTCCCCATACCAGGCGAGGGAGACAATATCTCGCCACCACGACGCCCCAGGGTCTATTCACTGGTAGATGAATGCCTCATGCTGTCACCATCCCTCACATTTTTACTATTTTGCCACGGTCACGTCTCCTTCCTGCAGATGAGCTGATCTCACCGCTCCATCTGCAGTGGTAAGCCTCTCGTTGTTGAGTCCCCATCATGTAGAGTACTGTCCTGTATTTAATTAGCATTTGTTTCGCAAAGTCATTGGGCAATGTTTCTCTATCTCTCCATGCTTCTATTACATTGTCAACGTTTTTTTTTAATTTTCGTTGTCAACGTCCCCTACGCTGATCCAACGTCAGAGCAGGTAATATGCAGATTTGAAAACTTGTATCCGTTGGCACACGTGTAATTACAAAGGGTTGTTTATTTTCTGGATTGTGCCTCCCATAATTGACTTATTCGAATTCTCTGCCCAAGGGAAGGTGGTTTGCTCAAGCTTGAGTTTAGCTAATTTGAAATTGTGCAGCTGTCTAACGTTACATCAGCTCTGCTTAACCCCAGTTTAAAATCTATTGAGAGTCCATGAAAAAAAACCGTGCAGAGATAACACGAGCAACACAGTTTCATTAAAACGTACAGTACATTCCAGCCTGTCGTACTCGGATTCCGTACACACCATCAGCAATTTCGTTACCCTACTCCATTGCGGCATTTAATCACACTATGTAACACAATTTTAGTTCCTGAGTAGTAAGTGTTATTTCGTAATTGATTCTTTAAAAAAATAGAAAATGGCTATTATTCTCCGCAAACTTTGCCTTTGTGACTAGGACAGTGATATTTTGAAACGTACCTATTTTCAATGTGGGGCCGTCCATAAATGACGTCACGCGCCTGGGGGGGGGGGGGGTGTCAGACATTTGTGACGATATGTGACGAGGGGGGGGGGGGTTTGAGAAATATGACGTCACATCAAAATGCACAATTTTAAATAAATATATACAACACGTTCTACTTAATTAAATATACTTTTTAATAAATGTTTTCTCCTACAACATCAGCCTGCAGCGCCACATTAAATACGCACATGCTTCAAGCGAGTTGAAGCATGTTTTATTTGGGGGGGGGGGGCAGAGCTTTGTGACGTCATATTTGAGGGGGGGGGGTCTGACTTTTTGTGACGCCGTGTGACGAGGGGGGGGGGTCAAAAATCGTCCAAAATCGCGTGACGTCATTTATGGACGGCCACTACGAAAAAGGGCGAATGTGTCTTTTCGTTCACATAAAGTCAGAAAAAACTAAAGTAATACCAAAATGACTACAACAATTTTTTAGAAGTGAGTCGTTTTTCGAGATTTACGATTATACTGTAAATCATTTTCACGAATCAGTCCCCAAATGTACTTCCATCATGTTCTCGTTATACTGTCCTTGGTAGTGGCGTTCAAAGCCCAGCATATCCTGGTGGAAGCGCTCGCCTTGCTCCTCCGAGTACGCTCCCATGTTCTCCTTGAATTTATCAAGATGAGCATCAAGGTTATGGACTTTGAGGGACATCCTACAGCCCATTGTGCCGTAGTTCTTCACCAGTCTCAACCAGCTTCACATAGTTTTCGACCTTGCGATTTCCCAAGCCACGAACCACTGCAACAAAGCTGTCCCAAGCCGCTTTCTCCTTACTAGTGAGCTTCTTGGGGAATTCATTGCACTCCAGGATCTTCTTTATCTGTGGTCCGACGAAAACACCGGCTTTGACCTTTGCCTCAGACAGCTTAGGGAAAAAGTCTTGAAGGTACTTGAAGGCTGCCGACTCCTTATCTACAGCTCTGACAAATTGTTTTATAAGGCCCAATTTGATGTGCAGTGGTGGCATCAGCACCTTCCGTGGGTCCACCAGTGGCTCCCACTTGACGTTGTTCCTCCCCACAAAGAACTCGGTCCGCTGTAGCCAGTCCTGCCTGTGGTAGTGCACCTTGGTGTCTACATCTGTTGTCGTCATTTTTGTATTACTTTAGTATAAATACATGTTAATTTTGATTCATGTTGGTTTTTTCTGACTTTATGTGAACGAAAAGACACAAATTCGCCCGTTTTCTCATTGAATATAGGGACATTTCCCAAAAATGTTCGTTGGGAATAAGCCATTATCTGTACTTTTGAGGCATAAGCAATTAGGAAATAACACTACCCAGGAACAAAAAACATGTTTTGTTACAGTTATGCATGTCCAGCTCGTTCGTGAATCCACTGCTGGATGAGCCTTCCCTGGCCATGCAGGTCGTGAGGGTTTCTTGGATCACATTTCATTTGGCTCCGCAGTGAAGATTATTGGTGGTGGTTAGATGAGGGCAGAACAAAAATCGAATCTGCTGCACTGCACTGCTCTCCCTCTACACATACCTTCACTTGAGTGTTTGTGCTTGGTGGTGGCCCATCCAAGCAACTATCCCGGATCAACCTTGCTTAGGATCAACCTGCTGAGCTTCCGATGGATAACAGAATCGGCCGCATTCCAGGTGATTTGCTCAGAGGCCATGTGTAATCGTGTTTTACTATGTATACTTTTCATGATTAAATGCCTCTATTGCAGCTATCTTTCGTAATACCACCCCTCAAACTCGGTGTGATTCTACTGAGTAAGGGCATTGCATGTACAGTGTTACAATTATTATTGTACGCATGTCTCGCCGATTGAGGACTTGGTCCAATTTTCATGGCTTATTTCGTTGTTAAAATCATGGATCAAAATCATGCTATTCACACATTAGCAGGCCGATATTATATTGTTGTAAACCATATGAACGTTAGCCTAAGTGGTACTTATTATGCAAAATATTAGAAAACATAATTACTGTATAAGATGCTTCTGAAAGTAAGACGCACCGCAAATTTGTACCCAGTGTCAAGGAGGGTTAAAACTGTTCATACACATCGGATTATAAGACGCACCTCCAACTTTATCTTTAAAACGCTGCAGGGGAAAGTTCGTCATATAATCCTAAGAATACGCTACCAAATTGCACCCGTAATCGGGTTGCGGAATTACCTTTTAAACGCACTTCAAGCACCTCATACCATTATTCGTGTCTGCTTTAAATCTATGCGGCAAAATTCAAACTCCGTCCATTTAAATTCAAAGTACATACTGCTTCACAGACATGTTACGTAGTTAAGTGGAGCTTTAATTTGAAGGGCACCTCTTTTTTGGATGTGATTTATTGGTTGCTTACCGGCGCAATGCGGCTGATTAGTATGGCCGTGACAACTCACAGTGGCCTTCACGAACTCATCAGTAAGCAGACGACTGAGGGCTTTAAACGTTTACCTCTTAAAACATTCTCTCCTGGGTTATCTAGGAAACAAAATGTTCTTTCTGTTCATGGCGCTTGCGCATTATGCCTTGAAAAGGCAATTCCAACTCAGATACGTGGTTGATTTGATGCTGAAAATATTACCAGGAATGGCCAAGAGTAAAAACAGTTGAATAGTTAGGGTATGTGGGAGGGGACACGTGAGAATAACATGCCATTCCAGCATAATGACCATGGCTTAATTAACAGGTCTAAAGAGTGCACAAAATAGCCTTAGAATTCGACTGTTGCATTTGGTTATGGATGGTCAAATTGGCAACGAACAAATCTACAGAATGAGTCGTGCTGAAAAGGCTTTGTTCCTGAGAAAGGCACATTTAGAATAGTTTAGAGATGAGAAATACTGGTGATACTGATCATGATGAAATATCGCCCTCATCTGGAAAATTCTGGAAGTCTATATATGGTCGTTCAAGCATGCGCCATTACTCTAAGATCCATTATATTACTTTCCAGCGACTGGATTACGATGATGCACCACAATATCCAAGGTGTCTGAAGCGGAGAAACGGTTTCTCTTATTTACTCAAAGCGTTTGCTTTATTGACATGTAGACTGAAGCAGGAACACGTTACAAACCTGAACCACTGTACTGTAACACAAAAAAATGTGGAAGACCGAACCACGTTTCATACAAGCAGCCATCTATAAAGAAATGTCGAACAAGAAGTTTATTTTTGAAAGTGTCAGATATTACGGTCATTCGGCTTTACATTAACTCAAATAGAAATTATACATAAATAAAATTATGGCACATCTCATAAATAAATCATTTATATAAAAAGAAAATCAAATATACAAGAAGGTTTAACACAACCAAGTTGTTCCAATACAGCAAATGTCAGAATGTTTAAGCTTATGAGATTGGGCATCATCATGGGACCTCCTTTGCCAGTACCAAAATTTGAGAATGGGTTTTCCCCTTTTTTCTGGCAACAAAACAGGTGTTGAGATGTTAAAACACCAAACTGAAACCTTTACAAGGAATCATGTCTACAATAATCACAATACTTGTGGTCAAAGTGCAAACAAAAAACATATTCTGATAATATATGCATTGTCTTTGAAACTGATTGGTCCACACCAGAGACAGCTTTCTTTTGAGCCTAGTCTCAAACGGTGTTAGACCAGAGGGCGCCTTTTGGTGTCCTCTGGTCTAACACCATTTGAGACTAGGCTCAAAAGATGTCTCTGGTGTCGACCAAATTAGTTTCAAAGACAATGCATATATTATCAGAGTATGTTTCTTGCTTGCATTCTGACCACAAGTATTGTTGTTAATGCAGACATGATTCCTTGAAAAAGGTTTCAATTTGGTGTTTTAACATCTTAACACCTATTTTGTTGCCAGAAAAAAGGGGAAACCTATTCTCAGATTGGGCATCATTTACACAATTTATAATGATAAACGTTATAACATTGCTTGGCCTCCTGTCCTAGAACAGCAAGTGGCAATGCACAACTACAACCAACAACTGTACACAGCAAAGTCAATATTTATATATTTTCACCATACCCTTAAGTGTCTAAGGTACATATTTTCCCTTAAATTGTTCACACCAAGAATTTTTTTCTAGTACACAACACAGACTGCCGAACACAATGATATGCACCAAGCATAAAACAAACCTTGTAAACATTGATGCAATACGATTTGTAGTCATGCGAGCTTGTTTCAAACAATTTAGCATTTTTTTCAACAGGAAATATTGCAAATTGCATGTTTCATTTGTATGACTCTACCTGGGCCCTTTAACATTCACCCATACACGCACACTTAATACGAGGCGACTATGTTATCATGAAAACTCAGTGGAACACGGCTGCACCCAAATCAACACGTATGCTTAAGCTCAGACTTTATAGAGCACTGATTTCAGGGTGAGGCTATTACATACAAAATGAATTGAAGTATGTAATAAGTAACATGAATTTGTATTTAACAGCCACACCATGTCTTCCACTGATGGGAAGACCCTGTCTTGCCTTTGAGGGCACTCGTTTACATTTTGCTTGCCCAGTTTCTGTCTCGTTATTTCAACCAAGGTATGTGCTAGCACACTTTCACACGTTTCCTTAATTGCCACAATTAGTTTAAGCCCCTATATTAATTATTCTGCTCAACATAAAAACACAAAGATCTCAGGAGCCATAACAATTGCTTAATCGAGGCCTAAGAATATCAATTAGAAAGTGTTGTTCACTGCTACAAGCTTTTAATTTTGTGGCTGCTTAACGCTAAGTTAACAATGTCCACAGATATATATTTCTTTGCATGGTACTTTCAACGTAGTTGCAGCCTTTTATCCAGGACGTTTTCAAGCAGGTCGGGGGAGCCAATAGAAGTCAGGCAGCAACAAGCCTATTGTAACAATTTGTGCATACTGGCGAAACGTGGTTGGTTAGTTTACAGTGCTAACATAGAAATAAATGTTAAGAAATTATCACTCAGCTTTATACAGCCTCCATTATATACAAATTACTTGCTTTGTTTTGCTGACAGCTTGTATCGTCATTCACATTACATCTCTTTTTCTACCCCGTTTCTCCCACCCAAATTAGATCAAATTGAAAACAATTAAATTGTCACGTGATTTCACTTAAGTATGATGTAACAAATATTGACAACTCCATGTCACATCAATATCTAAACACAATGGCTAGAAAGAAAACATTATTTTTTTGAAAATAAACATCACACTTCCCCATGCTTGTGATATAATTTCGATAATTTTATCAAAAACTATGAAAATAACAGTGACCAAGCAAAAACCTTTCAGTTGCTGCCTGCAACTTCTGACTTGTGGCTGACTATTACAGAAAACCATAATTATGTGGTATATGAAGGTACGTTTCATTTAAAAATTACAGTATTTTAATGTTTTGATGAGCAAAGAAATGAATCTTGGCTTTAAATAAAATTTTGGGGATTTTTTTATTAACACTAAATCTTCGGATCCAATATTTTTTAATTATCTGGGGGAAAGTATTACATAACCATACCAATGTTATTCACAAAGACACCGTGTCTTTTTAGACCTTGTACTGTATTGTTTTCACGATACCAAATACAGTACTTGAATAGCTTCAGAATTATAGCAGCTGTTTTCAAGATACCTATCAAAACATACATTTACATTTCGTATAACAGAGCGCAAACAAGTGATAGCACATGATTATTTGGGCAATCTGTGCAACTAACCTTGACGTATTGGAACAATTCAAATCAAGCCCATGATTTTTACATTGTCAACCACTGATAAATCATGTGGATTTGTAATTTTTGGGTCGGGTTTCAGAAGTCAAATGTGTGTCGTACACCCTCAAATCTACAATATTTTAACGGTTGGGTAACAATTGGATTGCTCTCCAACACTGGTCTGTTGAAGCAGTAATGAAATGGCACGTATGTTCTCGTGACAACTTTACCAATTGGCTATGTCGGGGTGAAAAGAGGGTGTACGACATACATTTTACTTTCACGAGCTTACCCAAGAAACAATTCTCAATCATATTGGTCAAGTGAGAGGTGTTCAATATGGATTTAACCTACATGGCCTGGAGGCATGATCTCTTGGCAACAAACTTGCTTCTCATTAACGTGGCCTGTGTGCCAGTATTAATGATGCGTCTGTCAGAGGTAAGAGTGCCTTAATTGCCACATGAATTGGGACTGTACATACACCTTCACCAGAACCCAACATGTCCACGATGAATAGTAACCTGCTCTGTCATCATGCCATTATGGCATTATGGGTAAACTTATCCTGGCACATTTATACAGTAGTTTGGTAAAACGAAAGCAAAAAAATCCCACAGCTACATTAATTTCATATTCCTTAAAGTTTCCCCGATTACTACGCAGACAATACCAGTCAATATTTGATCTGCTGGGCAAAGAGGATTTCCGTACACATTAATCTCGACAATGTCAATAAACCGCTTGGTGCTTCCTGTTCAACTATACACCATCCAAATGTGTTGTCAAGTACCATTGGTGTTAAAAAGAAAACTATAACTTGATAATTAGTCCGTGTGATTTCAGATAACATGAGAATGTGATGTCTACCAAACACTTGCATGGCCTTCAACTGAAAACACATTTTCCAGATTGTGTGAGAATGCATTTTCTCATAATTGAATCTAGTGACCAGAAAGACATTCATAGACATGCAAAAGCGATCAAGATGTCATATGGTTAATGCCAATATCCAGCATCATTACAAATTGGGATGTCAATATTATCAAAATGTGCTGCATGCTCATTCCAACAGAAAACAAACCTGGAACAACACACATTGAAAAATGTTAATGGAACATTATAGATGTATCAAGCTCACCACTAAATAGACACAAATGTATTGGCTCTACTGTACCTGAAATGAAACTTACAAATTACACAAATCTGTACACTCGAAAGCATCTGCAAGTTTGAAAATAACCTCTAATTTTAAAATAATGTGAGACATTTAACAGCAAAGAGGGCCTGACGCATTTACATAAACAAGGCATTCCACTGACAACTACCATCCAAAAGGGTGTAAAATGGTGTCATGTTAAAATTGTTTAATATAACCTATGTGTTTTTTTTTCTGTTCATAGTAAGCTTAATACATGTAAGACTCACCTGCTATAATGCATATACAATCTTTATTTGGTTTGATAGTGGGCTGAATATTCGCCGAATGTTAAACACACTTGCATTCATCCTTTGTTAAAAAAAAACTTTTTTTTTCAGTCTCACTACTCCTCCAACTCTTGCCCCTCACTAATTGCAAGGAAATGAAATAGCATGGGTCAAGAGAGTGTACCACTTTGATGATACGGAAGGAAAAAAACCAAGATAGCTAATTAAAATGCACTGAATGTGCATTTTCACTCCAAGACCATAAACATTTTTAGAGACCAATTAAAAAAGATACATAACACTGGAAAAGTACACTTAATGCTAGATCTGATTTTCTAAACTAACACATTAACCAAACAAATAATTGGCAATTACTAAAACTATGGCCATGATGTTTTCACATTTCACAAAGAACTTCCTATCAAAGTGGTGCAATCTCATGAATGCTAGGTGAAACTTTGTATTACCAAATCTGAACTAAAGCTTTAAATAGCATGTGTTTGTGTATATGCATGCACGCTTTGTCAGCCTCAATGCAACAAAAAAAACATTAATAAATAACAATATTTGTTTAAGGTTTTCAGCGTTCAAAATTTGCCACTCGAAGAGAGCAAGAACGTACAGTCAGTATCAACCACCTGCACACACACACACCAGCAAGCTTCGCACACGACCTTGCCCGTTGGCCCTTACACCAGCTGATAGCCCGTGCCGGAACTCTGGTCATACTCAATGGAGAACTGGCGTGTCCAGTCCACAGCGCTGGGTCGGCACAGCCCACAGCAGCGGCACTGGAAGAAGTCCACCGAGTTGCGGAAGCAGCCGTGACTTCAGGGTGAAACGAGATCGTGGAGGAGAAACAAAAAGAGGCCACAAGGGGAGGAAGAGCGAGCATGACCAATTAGCACGGTTGGCAACGTACGGTGCGAAAGAAGTGCAATATACATTGTAAAGATAAACATTCACTGACCAAGTTTACCGCTTTACAATGGAAGACAGACTTTTTAAGAGGTCACGTGTACTCAATTTAACTCAAAACAAGTGGAATTAAATGTTTAACTGAATAAGATAACTTCACACGTTGACTTAAGTACAACACTTCTCAACCATCTGTAATGTTTGTTTGTTCCAGGCTGACAAAGCTGTATGACTGAAGACTTTCGTTATGTTACGTATTTTATATCAGGAAAGCCGTAATGACTCTCAGTACAATTTTCTGCAGGTTATCCCTTGGAATGTTGAACAGTTTTGGAGTGCTGTGGGAGGTAATCAGGGTGCCCAGAGAAAATCCACAAGTTTAGAAGGGGGAGTTTAACACTCAAATGTCTGTGCAAATTCACACACATTTACTGTGCTACTATCTGCCCACTATCTTCCATTTCAGTGACTTTTGAAGCTTTTCAAAAAATGTTTGCCACCACATCAATTTTTTGCAAAAGAACACAATAAATTGTTACAGCTATAAAATGTATCATACAATCACTCACTTGAATGGGCTCTCAATGGTTGTGGCAGTCACTTTAAAGTGCTTGTATCTCCGTGCATTCATCCTTTCATTGGTTGTTATTCCCAGGCAAGAAATCTTTAAAGAAAGATCATCACACAAGTTAAATCATTACTTGTAAAAGCAAATATACTGCATCTGACACATTAACATGGGTGAACAACACAATATTATCAGTTTTGTAATTATACAGGTAGGAACAACAGTTCCACACTGCCCACCAGGGATTATTTGTCTGCCTGTCTGTCGTGCATAGCCACACCCTCGATTTGTATTTCATAGAGCGCTCCGGGCGGGCTCAGCACCACGTGACGCGCCGCCCCACGCAGCTTGCGCCGCGTGACACGGATCGCACGAATGCGCTGTCCAACCAAGTTCCTAACTGCCCACTTTAAATTTACGTTCTGGTTTTCAGGAACGCATCCTGGGCATAAACCAGGGTATGTCTATATGTTACCTATTAGTAATTACACTCATATTAAGAACACGATTGAAAGGTATGAAATAATGTTGCATGTTTACCCTGTTACATTTCATGATTCGCAAGTAATTGCGATGCTAGGTTTATATGGACAGATATTAGATGCATGTGTATAGCTGAACCCGATACACACATGTTCAGTATGGAATGCAAATATGACCTGCATCTGAAATGTAATTTCCAGAGTGAAATGACCCACAACACAATAATAAGTATCACACTGACCAGAGCCAGAACAAACTCAGTGGGTCGAGAGGCAATAGCACAATCCTATGCAGTCTGTACTCAGTGTAACCAGGACAATCAGAGAACATGAACACCTGGTAGAGCTGACACATGAGCAGGATGGTGACCCAGGTGAGGTGGAAGAGGCTATTGATGAACATCCAGAAGATCCAGGGCGAGCACATAGCCACCTGGGACACGTATGTCCAGAAGCCATCCGTGTGGTACGTCGTGTGGCACCGCCGGCTCCAGACTGCGGTTAAACAATCCAAACGCAACGTTGACCACAATGGATACCCAGACTCAAATACTAAACATGCTGTCCTGGAATTCAATGGAGATATAACTGATGTGGAATAAGGTGTTTTAGTAAGTCAGAACCAAGTTAACTATGACTTAAAATGTATTAAACTCCAAGACTAATCTATCATAATCTGTTGGCCAAAATATATTGAGGATATTTCCATAAACCAATAAAACTGATATACAAGATATAATGAGCCACCACATTCTGTATAATCTAGTTCTTACTTTGCATGTAAATGTATCAATATGAAAGTTTCGGTGACACTGAATTTGCATGGCAAAAAACAAACGTTTAAAAACATGAGAATAGGTTTTCCCCTTTTTTATGGCAACAAAACAGGTGTCGAGATGTTAAAACACCAAACTGAAACCTTTTACAAGGCATCATGTCTACAATAACCACAATACTTGTGGTCAGAATGCAAACAAAAAACACACACCAAAAGTCGCCCTCTGGTCTAACACCATTTGAGACGAGGCTCAAAAGAAAGCTGTCTCTGGTGTGGACCAATCAGTTTAAAAGACAACGCCAATATATTATCAGAGTATGTTTTTGTTTGCATTCTGACCACAAGTATTGTGGTTAATGCAGACATGATTCCTTGTAAAAGGTTTCACAGTTTGGTGTTTAAACATCTTAACACCTGTTTTGTTTCCAGAAAAAAAGGTAAAACCTATTCGCATATTTTGGTACTGGCAAAAGAGGTCCCATGGTTTAAAAACATGTCATAGAAAAGTTATTTTCTAAGAAGAGTAACCCTGAATGTTTAAACCACAATGTATCACTCACATATGATGCACCCGTAGATCAGCCAGCATATAGTTCCCAGCAGGAAGAAGAGGTAGCCAACGAAATAGCGGTGGTTTCCAGCACCTTGACAAGAGAGTAAAAATCAACATATGCAAAGGAACCAATGATTGTATGACTTGAGCTGTTAAAACACTTCTCTAGCATCTTTCATCTTAATAACAATGCTCTCAATCGGTGAGATCACTTGATGCAATACTGCTTGGTGGAAATTTGGTGAGAACCCAATTCCCCACAATGTTCAAAATTACGCATGGGTGGAATGGAACGACAGCACAATGAGCATGATCCCTTTGAAAACAAACAAGTGTGCTCAAAATCAAAGTTAAGGATCTTGTGCAAAAAACACAAAATGGGAACTGTCGTCACGTGGTGACCTTTGATGGCAATGCTCACCCACGCAGTTGCCGACCCAGGGACAGTGGTGATCGAACTTGGCAATACAGCGATTGCACACAGAGCAGTGCTTGGACCTCACTGGCTTGCGGATCTGAAAATGTTAGTAATTACACTGGATAAGTTTCAAGAGGCAAACTATTCATGATTTTCTTGTTACAAAGAACGGTGTGTGAAGTATATTGAGGACTACTCAACCCAATAGAATTTAAACTATTATGAACTTCCAGCAATATACAATAGCAAAAAGATATTGTGAATAAAAGAATATAGAAATTGTAACTCTTTTGCTTACCAAACATGTACTGCAGAATATGCTGAGATCCAAGCTCCCAGCTTCAGCTAACTCCACGATAGTCTTAAAATGGCACAAGTACAGAGACGCAAGTACACAACACAAGCAAGTGTAATCAAAGTGTTAAAACAATCCTTGAACATTTAGTTAGACTTATTTGGACAGAAACATCATGAAGGATAACATTTTTTGTAATCTGTAATATAGACCCATGAACAGAATCAATTTGGCTTAAAACTTTTCAGTACTTTTTCTAGGAGTCCAATTTTTTGGAAGACACTTTTTGCAATTTAACTTAAGACAAAATTACAAATGTCACTCAAAATGTAAGAAATATGCCCAGGCAGACGTAAAAAAAGCATGACCATCTACTAAAATAAAGAGTGTGTAAAATTGGAACGTTATGTGGACATTAAGTGTGTATACTAAAAACACATTATGCAATTAGTTATAAACATTTTAAGTGAGTGTGTAGAGAAATGTCACCAACATTAGCAATCACCTTAAAAGGCCTCAAAACTGTTTTCAGAAAGACTGTTGTTTCAAACAACTGTAAGCATTTTAGGCACCAACTACCCTTTGATCTTACCTTCTTTTTCTGCTCCTCTGTGGCTTTTACAACACCCGGGTCTGATTTCCAAGACTTGCCGAAGTTGTAAAAGAGAGCCGCAGTGTTTATTAAGAAGGGCACCTGAATGGAAAGGCTGGTCAGTTGTGCATGGCTTGTTAAGGAACACTACTCTCAATGAGTGCAAAGCCAAACAGTGCATTAAAAAAATATTGTCAATATCCACACACTAAAGGGAAGGAGTCAACTATATTCAGAGACACATTATGGCACTAAAAATAAACGCACACTACATGTACCAGAATCCCAGATTTGACATACTATTGTCCAGAACAGTAAATTCACTTTGAATGTATGATCTGCAACCAACCCAATAAGTATGATTCTGTATATTGGACTCTGATACAAGTGATACTGCAACAGATTAACTGCAGCACAAGGAGACGAGGCTCAAAAGAAAGCTGTCTCTGGTGTGGACCAATCAGTTTCAAGGACAATGCAGAGTGTGTTTTTTGTTTGCATTTTGACTGCAAGTTTTGTGGTTAATGCAGACATGAATCCTTGTAAAAATGTTTCAGTTTTGTTGCCAGAAAAAAGGGGGAAAACCCCACTATTATATTTTGGTACTGGCAAAGGAGGTCCAATGATGTAGAAGCATCAAACCACTCATAGCCAAAACATTACCCCCGTATTCCTGAAAATATTCCTCATTTAGTAAACCGTATATAGACAAAACACGCGTTCGGTAAAACCGCATTTGGCGAGGATTTCCTGTACAACGGTTTGCTGAAAGCAAAGGATATCTGGCCACAGCCATCCAAACCAGGTGATGTACATCCAGAATTTAGTTCCCAAGTAGATGCCCAGAGGCAGGGCACTGTGCATGGAGTGGTCAAAAAATGTCCTGCAAATAGAAAAAGAAACAATGTTTACACATTCTTTGGTTCTTTCGGTAAAGTCACGAAGGTAGAAAAATAATAGATTACGATGTTTCGATCGCAACACAAGCAATCGTCATCAGGTGGGACAACCACAGTAAGAAAAAACTGCTGAAGTCGGCGAGAGATCTGCCATGGCACGAGGTTATATAGGCCTCGGCAGTCCAGGGGGGAGAGAGGAGGTGGGGGGAGAGAGTGGACTCCGCGGCAGCACTTGGAGAGATCTCAGAAATCGGCTGCAGGGGGGGGGAGAGAGAAGGGGTGGGGGAGGAGGCAGGGCAGAAAGTGGACCCCGCAGCAGCACCCAGGTCACTGGAGTAAAGTCGACCACCACAGCAGCACGAGAGAGATCGGCTGCAGGGGGGGTAGAGAAGGGGGGACGCGAGGCAGAAAGTGTACCCCGCGGCAGCCATTTTTCTGTATTATTCTCATAAATTAACAACAGGTGTCCATTCAGTGCAACGCAAGTCAACATGCAATGCTAAGACCATGGGTGCAATTCACATGTTGCCAAAGGGCCAAATAACCCTGGCAATTATCTTCATCTTAGCAGAGCCAATAGGAAATAACAGAGAGAGCATGCTCCATGAGCCTTAACCAGCCATTCACCAACTTCTGAACGCACTCCAGGGTCTAAAGGTGTGGCCCTGCAATTGCTTGCGTATGCCATTCCTGGGGCAAGGGCCTCCACTGGAGTGAACTCTTGAGGGTATATGGTCTTCTCTTCAGACCAGATGTGTTGGAAAAGATGGGCGAACCCACACTTTTCTCCCACCACATGCGATCTACTAAATCGACTAACTGTGGTGTATCCATTCATACTGCTAGGTAGATAAGAGGCAGGGGGATTTGAGAAACTTTCCCACTGTTTCAATTGCTACGCCGGAAGATCGAATGGAACCGGCGACCTCTGGTTGCAAGTGGAGTGTGGTAACCATTACACAATGGCAGCTAAAACCTGGGTTTTAAGTAGACCACAAATTGGAACTTACTTTGACAGGAACTGCACGAGAGCCCAGACCCCGACGTAAAGAGCCCCCTTGATGAGCCAGGAGCCAGTGTCCAAGTCAGCGATGAAACCGATCAGCCAGATCACCAAGAAAGGAGTGCCCAGCATCACTTTCTGACGTACCGACTGAATGGGAACACCCGAGGCAAGTACACATTTCAGAACAGAAACGAAAGAACCAGATCCCAAGGGCATCTCTGACAGTAGTGTAAAAACCCAAGTGAGGCAATGGCACAATGCACATGACATACCTTGTCTGATTTAAACCTGTGCAGGAAGGAGGCATTGTCCAGCCCCTTGGCTTGCCTTGCCTCCTGTAGCCGGTTTACTATCCAGGCATTTTTCCGCTGTTTGGCAAGGTCGAGAGCACTCTCTCCCTGCAAACAATGAAGCAGGGGGGTTCAATTTATAGACCAAAGTGTGTTGTGGACTAAACCAACATGGACTTCAGAAATAGGAGGGAAATAAGTTTTGTGGCGACGCATCAATGTGCCGTCACCTTGACGTTCTGCGCGTCAACGTTGGCTCCGGCATCGAGCAGGAGGCCGATCACATTGGTGTTGCTGGCCAAGACGGCCCAGTGCAGTGCTGTGTTTTTGTGGAACTTGTCCCCCAGGTTCACCGTCGCATTGAATGTGAGCAGCAGCCGTGTTGGGTCCACGCTGCATCACAGCCAATGGAAACGGCAATGTTTTTTTTTTACAGCGAAACTGACATTATAGAACAAAATTCATCACTAAACCAGGCCAATATGATTTAAGTTGATCAAATTCAGTACTTTAGATTGAGTTGATTATCTTATTTCATATTCTTTGGCTCTTTCGGTAAAGTAATGTAGATAAAAAAATAAGAATTAAGTGAATAAAAAAAAGAATAAAAAACAAAAGGCACTAATGTAGACTGTAGCCTGGTTCTTAACCTGAGTGAGCATACTACATTCTTAGTAACCATTGCTACTGTCTACATTATAGACTGCGAGGACACCAACTCAGATTAAGAACCAGGCGACAGTCTACATTAGTTGTCACTTATTTGTATTCTTTTTCTATCCACGTGACTTTTACCAAAAGAACCAAAGAATATGATTTACTGCAGTCACGAAAATTAAGTCAAAATGTAACTTATTTCAGTTTATATTTAAATAAACCATGTGTTTTATATAACAATTTTAAAGGTAAATTATTTTGTTAATTGAAATATATTCCCGATTAATGCATCTCAACACAACAGAGAACATACCACACCCCATTAATGTGACCCATAAAGTCACAATGTCAAAATGGATCATGAGTTTCCCTATTTAAAAAAAGACACTGCTGGTAAAATAACGGTCCAGAAGGACTTCTGGCATGGACCTCATTATTATTTTCATTATGTATTTTGGGATACAACAAAATGCATGCTTGTCAATTTAAATCCAATAGCACATTTTTACAAACCGACATTTGAAATTTTAAGAGTTCTCCAAATTACTTTCAAATGCACTAGCTTGATGTTTTTTTTACAAGTCCCGAAAATAAATTTGGAATTATAATCAAACGGCATAATGTTTTATCCCACAAAAGAACCAGCTACAATAAACTGCTGCTGCATTTATTTAAATTACCATCATGATAGACACTGCAAAATAGATGTATTTTTCTAAACCTGATAATCCAGATGATAATTGTCGCGGCTAACTACCACTCTGAATGTCTATCGTTCCTCATGTCTGGCGCAAACTACAGGACGTCCTCTTACCCGTACGTCCGGTATGCCGCCCACATCAATGGCGTCATTCCATTTTGGTCCATCATGTCCACATCCTGAAATAACAGGCCCAGAGGTTGCATTTAAAAATGTCATAAAGGCACAAACTAACATGAAAAGTCTGGTAAACATTTTAAACAATGCTCGAAGAACATGCTTTAAGCCAGATTCTTTAAATGTAACCAAACCCACCCTCAAAACCTTTTTAATAATAAAACCGACAATTTTAACTATACTCACCTATTAACCTGACTTATAAATCAAACTTATTTTACCCACAATATAAAACAGGACCCTGCGGGGTGGGCTGGTAGGAACGAATAACCAAAGAATATAAACATAATGTATTATTACACTTGTTTAGCCAAGAAAGCCCCACTGAGTCTAAAGGTTTTTGTAGGGTCCTGCCAAGTGTTTGCAGTAGGGGGCGATGTTGCTACACCGAATCGGACGATACGAAGGGAGAGTGTGAGGCCTAGTTCTAGGCTTTAGGCCTAGCTGTAGGCGTTAGGCCGCTGTGAGTTAATTTGTAATTTAAATGTTTTAATTATTTATGTAAAAGCTTTAAATGTAAATGTTTCTATTTAAAAAAATCAGGGAATGTAACATTGTAAAACATTAACTCCCTTTCACACACGCGGGGGTACGATACGAAGGGAGAGTGATAGGCGTAGTTCGAGTCTTTAGGCCTAGCTGTAGGCTTTAGGGCGCTGTGAGTTATTTTTTAATTTCAAAGTTTTAATTAAAAGTTATCTCAGGGAATTATAAGGGAATGTTACACTTGTTTAGCCAGGAAAGCCTCACTGAGTCTAAAGGTTTTTGTAGGGTCATGCCAAGTGTTTTCAGTAGGGAGCGATGTTGCTACACGTAATCGGACATCGGACGGACGGACGGATGGACGATATTATTTTTTTATTTCAGAGTTTTAATTAAAAGCTATCTCAGGGAATTATAAGGGAATGTTACACTTGTTTAGCTAGGAAAGCCTCATTAATTTAAATGTTTTAATTAAAAGCTATCTGAGGGAATTATAAGGAAATGTTACACTTGTTTAGTCAGGAAAGCGTCACTGAGTCTAAAGGTTTTTGTAGGGTCATGCCAAGTGTTTGCAGTAGGGGGCGATGTTGCTACACGGTCGGACGGACGGACGGACGATATAATCTATTGTAGGCTGGTCCACTTCGTTCCTACCAGTAAAATAACCACGACACCAACCCGGTGCAGATGAGAAGCCACTATATTGAACATTGATATAAAGTATTCATTTGGTGGGAGATTGATTGCTCATTCTTTTCTGCTGCACCCCCCCCGCCCCCCCCACTGTCTGGAACTCCTTTCCCCCAGCAATCTGTACTGTCCACTCGCTGCCACTGCTCCAGCCCAGGTTCAGCACCTACCTTTTTGAACAATCTATCAACAACTGCCTCTCAATAAAATAATTATGGCCAATGTTATTTTACTGTATCTTGAGATGTGGTCAGTTTTATACTTGACATAAATCCAAATGGTAAAAAGCGACATGCATGAATGCTGTCCGTCAATGCAGTATAATGCACTAGTATCTATATGGATTACAACTGAATCGGTTACAGTTTCAATTTTTAAATGACATTGCCAAACGAAAAGAATTAAGAAGATTGATAATTATCAATGTGGATGTCATTGATTGGGCTCCTTTTTAGCATCACCGCTCCACTCACCAGGCCCTTAGCTATGAGGTACGCAACGATGGCTGTGTGCTGGAACTGAGCCGCAAGGTGAATGCAGCTGCAGCCTTCTCCGTCCAACAGGGAGGGATCTGTGCCATACTTCATCAGCAGCACCACCATGGACAGGTGGCCCTGCCTGAAACACAGGTGGTAAGGAATTAAAGCACAGCACATATACGTCTATGTACCAATGAATGCATCTATTGGGGTGAGCAGAGGTAGAGTTAAATAGATGAAGAGGTATGATCAAGGGATTTCATCTGTCCATGAAACTGGAGCAACATGAATATTTACCAGAAGCAGATGGATCTCTTCTGGGCTCTTCGCCAGATCTTCTGATTGCAGAATGTAAAAAATAATCTGTCCAAAGACAGCTGGAAAACATTTGCCTTCTGCTGGTACGGCTACTTGTAGCAGTGAACTCCAGTTAATATTCGCGGTGGTAGTATCTTTTTGATTTAAAGCTTTCGTGACTGCAGGGATTCATATTCTTGGCTCTTTCGGTAAAGTCACGTAGAAGGGAAACAATAAAATAATAAAAATATAACAATAAAATTCTCACGACATTTCGACTGCGACACAAGCAATCATCATCAGGTGTGGAAAAACACAGCAAGAAAATTTTAAAAAGTGGCTGTTTTTCACACCTGATGATGATTGCTTGTGTTGCAGTCGAAACGTCGTGAGAATTTTATTGTTTTATATTTTTATTATTTTATTGTTTCCCTTCTACGTGACTTTACCGAAAGAACCAAGAATATGGTGATAGTATCGTTTCATCGGCATCTTCCTCAGCTCATTGTTGTTCTAGCTGCATCAGAACCTCATTAGACAGGTCCTCACCATGAGACTCGAGCAACTCCACCATGTCCCACTCCTCCACACTGAGTCCACGTAGTACGCACATAGCCCTCCACGCACTACGCTATGCCTGTACAGTACACATGGAGGGCTCCTTTTCCTCTCAACCCGGTACGCGCTGTGCGTACTATAGAGTATTACATCACATAGTATTTTTTTACCACGTGCGTTCCTAGTTTAAACATAATGTGCAAACATGTCAGTTACAGGGCTTGTAAACACAAGTGTCATATACAATGCTCCGAAAGTTGTGACTACACAGATGTTGATTAAATTGTGAATGTGCTGCACTTGGAAGAAAATGTGTACCTACTCCCACAGCAACTCCATGATGTTTCTAACAAATGTATTTCACAAATTTAAAGAGGTCTAACTAACAAAATGTAGCGACAATGAACAGCTAACACAAGATTCAAATTACTGTATTTCTTAGAGTGATTGAAATCATTGTAATAATTCTCCAGCGTGCTTTGTACAAGAGAGTTAGATGGATCAGTTATGCTAGTAGCTGCTCATGTTCTCAGTAATTGCATTTGAAGGGTATGACCTTAAAGGTAACACATTCAGAGCAAAGAGCACATTTATTTATGCACTGCAGAAATCTTAAATAAGAGCCTGTGCCATAAAGTGACATGTGGCAGAGGAGCCAATCTGCAGTTTCTGAATGTGAAATGCAGTGTAATTGTGTTTCCATGGCCACGTGAAAGCCATGACTGGCACATTACCGTGTGGCCCAGTGAAGAGGGGTGGAGTTGAGGTCTCCTCCAAGCTGATCCACTATGGCTCCTTTAGAAATATAGAACCTTCACAACAGGAAGTTCAGATTTTCATATCATCATCCATTTATCCACCCACATGCTAAGCAATGCCCTCCAGAAATGTCACTCCCTGAAATTTCACTCCTCCAATAAAATCCAGTGCAAAAGATATTTATTTTCAGACAAAACATGAGTTTTAAATACAACCAAACTCTGAGTACATTTACCATTAAAGAATGCAGTCTTTTACGTTGAACATTCAGCATTCTAAGTTGGATGCTTGCTGGTCTAAAACATCCCATGGTTTCACCATTAAGCAAGTGTACTGAAGTATAAACTTAATAAACTTTCCACATTTAGTCAAACTACAATGGGCTGTTGCAAAATAATATATTAAAAATGCTGATCCTTTGGTTAAATCAATAAAAAAACACGTGCACATGTTTAATAAAAAACACACATGAAATAAACTAATCAATTTAATGCACCAAATATAAAGCCCAATTAAGATGACAGATTTAATCTGTAATATCAGCAAGCGGGAGATTAATATTATGCAGGAAAAACATGACATGGGTAAATTTTCCACCATATGCCCTAGATTGAAATAATATTCCTGGGGATAGATATCAGCAGTGCCACAGAAGACATAATTCTGATAAAGAGTGCATGCAAAGAAATGATTGACCAACATATTCATCTTAACGTAAATAATTTGAATACAGAATTTCACGCAACAAATCTATACTGTAATGTACTAGTTTGGTTGAAGAAAACAAATCCTCATTATATTGTCTAAATACAACACATTTGTGCCTCATAACCGATGCCTTTAATCATGAACGGAGATCAATATTTAAGTCCCATTTCGGACTAACACTGCACAAAATCATGTGATAAAAATTACATCTTTACAAACACTAAAGTCTTTTTAAAGGAAGCATCAGAACCATTAACCTCTTTTTACATCAGCAAGAAAACGTGTTTTCTATGAATGGACCTTCTTTCTGTGTTTTTTACAATATATGTTTTAACTTCCCTGATTCGAATGCTCCACTAGCTCAGCATTTGCATCAGGCCAATTCACCCACGATGTGCCTTCAGTGTTGCTCTTGATTAAGAAGACACACTGCAACTACTATGCTGTGCATGATAGGCTTTGCAGATAAACAGAATGTATCTTTAAATATTAAAACAATCAAGCTGCGGGAACGGCCAGAGCTAATCCAGTAACGGCATTATACAGCATTATGGACTATGTGGGGGTTAAGCAAAGAAGAAACTGCTAAAATATTGTAAAACAAATAATGTACAACTTACGAATCTGAAAAAATTTAGTGAAAATAACCTGTTGATTACTGCTCAGTCCATCTTTTGGGAAGCAATAACTGAAGTTCCATCCTCATGTAGAATACAAATTTATGTTATATCAGCAATACTCATTATCTATAAATTATTACATTATGAATCAGTTAGTCTACACTTGTGAAACTAGAGTATCTCGTCCACATGCCCTCCATGGCCATTGGTGTAATTATACTGAAAGTACTCTTTGGTTCTTTCGGTAAAGTCGCATAGGTATAAAATAAATTAAATCACGACGTTTCAATTGCAGCACAAGCATTCATCATCAGGTGGGAAAACCACAGCAAAGAAAATGTTTTTTGCTGAAGTGGGAGAGAGATGCCGTAGTAAGAGGTTATATAGTTAAGAGAGGGTGGAGGGGCAAGTGGGGAGAGAGAGGGGGGTAGGGGGAAGGGAGCGTTGCGTGGACGCTAGGCGAGGGACGTGAAACTGGACGGGGGGAAGTGGGCAGGGCTGGAAGTGGGAGGCTGAGAGAGCTACTACGGCATCTCTCTCCCACTTCAGCAAAAAACATTTTTCTTGCTGTGGTTTTCCCACCTTATGATTGCTTGTGTTGCAATCGAAACGTCGTGATTTAATTTATTTTATACCTACGTGACTTTACCGAAAGAACCAAAGAGTATGGATCCCTGCAGTCACGAAACCTTCAAATCTAGATTATACTGAAAATAATAATGCTCCTGTGCTGGTGCGAATGCAATTTCCCCACAGCAAGTGGCCATTAATGAAGCGGCTGCTTTGTCAATCGGTTGACTCACTTGACAAGATCAATGCGATTGTTGATGGCTGCCCAGTGCAGCAGGGTGACATTCTCCTTGTCTGGTTGTCGGACATCATAACCCGCTTCTACCAGTTCCCGGCAGCGCTCAAAGATCCCGTATCTACAGCACAACAACAAACCACATTAATATATGGGCAAACACATATCAGATGTGTCTATTATGAAGTGTGTATCACAGAGCATGTTAAAACTGGGTGTGGTGACTCAAGCCTATTAACCAGAAATGTTGGGGCAGGATTTGTAGTTCAGTTATAGACCTTTGAAACTGACAAACTTACTGGGCTAGTTTCAAAGGTCTATAACTGTGCTAGTTTGTAAATATATGAAGATATTGGGGTGTTATCCCATTGTATTCATGAGTTTCTAAGTAAATGTTTTTTTTCAGCTCGCATGCAAAGCACTCAATCAATGGAAAGAGCCAAACATCTCAATGCTGGATTCTCTTGAAAAAAAAGTACCACAATTGAGACTTTATTGGATAAGAATATATGTAAGTACGGTAATAATAATAATCTGTGCTGCATACAATTAACAATTCTTCATAGGAAAAGGAAATAACTGCACTGTATCACAATCACAGGCTAGTAGAGCGGCTGCACTTACTGTGTTGCTTTGATGATATCCCAGGTACTGTAGTCATCTGAATGGTGTTTTTGCGGTTTGCCAGAAGAATCGTTGAAGCCTTGGCTATTGTTGAAACTGGCCTTCGTTTCAGACTGCAAATGCACAAGCATAGCATAATATGAATCAAAAATTAACATAAACAATTGCTTTTCAGAACATCCAGATTTCTAAACCATCCACATTGTTACTTATTACTGGAGTTAGCTGCTTAATCACATATTTTCAAATGTTTATTGCATGGGAATTTAAGGGGTTAATACCATCATTAACACACAAATGCCATTTACTGTATTGTATTAATTTGAGAAACTGTCAAAGTTAGGTCCATTTGGGTTACACCTAATCTATTATGTTTTCAGCTGAAAAATCCAGACTCCCATTCGTAATGCCTGAGGTCTATGATACCAGCCAGCACAGTATTGAGGAAAACAGCTAAGTAGGTAATTATGAGGAATGAAAAGGACCATTGCCTGAAACGTCACCTAGTTTCTTTTTTCTTTTAAGGTATTGTTATTGGCGAATGTGTTAAGTTTTTTCTAAGTAGGTAATTAAAACCGAAATAGTTTTTTGTAGAAAAATAACAGGCCAATTTTAAGCACTACAAAATTCTAAATGTCACACTGCTCATGATTATAATTAAAATTACAAAAATTGGACGAAGCTAATTCATACATAAATTCTTGTTTAATTAAAGGTAATTTCGAGTTATTCTTCAATATGCAAATTTTAACATTTAATACTTAAAATTGATTATATTACAATTTATGGAAAAACCACTCGGTTGCTTACTCAACTTTCTAAAACATATATAAAGATCAGCTACTTGCTTTTCTCCAAAGAATGAACAAAACTAAGTTGGTGATAGGAATGTTAACAGATTTAGGTTAAAACAATTAAAACGGCCTTGGAGACCACTGACAGAAGGACCCCTAAAGCCCACAATTATCACCCCCTGTGCATTGCTACAACGGGCTCAAAACAATTCAGTGAGCCTGCTACTCAGCCATTTTAACAGTAATCAGATTACTTGCGGATGTTTTTGGGTTAGCGGTCACCGAATCACTGACCGGCGTTGAGGGACAAGCTGAAACATGTATAATTTCCCAAGAAGTAATCAAGGATTAAACGTACCACTTATAGAATATGCCCAGGCTGATACTGGTCTTAGGTTTCATCACATATCATAGTTAAGCACACTTTATGGCACTCCATTTACAACGCTCCCATGTTTTCACATGTCAATGCTTGTCACGAGAGCGGCTATGGTGACACGTGATTTCAACCTTGCTTTATCATTTAGAAAGCTTCAAACTGATACGTAGCTTGAGTAGGGCATCTACAGCAGCTGTGTGTGTCCTGGGTTGCATCTTCTTTTAAATGACCATCTTTATTTCGAGCACTTCAACCATCCTCCTTTAATGCTACGTATTTTGCTCCCCAGTGACCCGGTCTTTGCAGGTGCCAGATGGGAGGGCTCATCCCCAAGGGTTTGCTGCACCCGACAAGTTCCCTGCTGCTAAAGCTGCTGGCTAAGCTGATAATAATCCCACACAATAGCAGTCATCCTACCAATGGGCTGTGTGCTGCCTAGGTTTTATTAATTATAAATGAAAAGTACAAATTATTCCTGTGCAGCCTGGAGTTAAATAGACACTTTTTTCAAAAATGATCACACATGAATGTAGAAAAATCTTAATAGTCTGCAGACAAATATTTGCAATACAGTTAATGTGACAATGTGGTGATTACTGTATGTCACTGGTATCACAAGTACATGTGCTTTGTACATTCTGTATAAGGTTAACGAAATAAAGGGCTACAATAACTCCTCTTCCATACGATCTATTTACACTCAAACTTCACCTATCGTGGGTTTTTTACCATTCACGCCAAATTCAGAGATATAGTTTGCTGATCGCTGAAGAATACACTTCATCAACATTCATGCAAAGTATTTTAGTTTGTTATTTTTTAACAGCAGAGTATTTAATGTACTCGTCTTTTTATCCCTACCTTTATTTTCATGTTTACTTAAATATACAGTTATTCCCTCGTTATTCACGAATTTGCTATTCGCGATTTTGGCTATCCGCGAATCGCATCTGGCACTCTATACGACTGCAACGAGAGAGAATGTGATGTGACAAAGTGATGAGATAATTTTCATGCATTTAATAGCTTATTTATGTATTTAAGGTAATCCATTAAAAGAAAAGGTTTCTGTAGGCGAATATCATTAGCCGCAGAATTTGTTATTCACGAGCATCTCCGGAACGCATCACTCGCGAATAACGAGGGAAATACTGGAAAGGAAGACCTCCTTGGAGCGACCTCGTAGAACGCAGATTCATTATAACGCTCTTGGGTAAACATTTGATGAAAAGAAAATTCACAAATCGACAGTTTCTATTTTGCACGCTTTTATTTAACTCACTGTCTGTTGTCGTATCCTCAAATCCTGTAACTCAATTTTAACCCGCTTCCCAATATGGTATCGACTGCAAAATTGGTATACGTATGTCATACTGATGACAATAAAAAAATGTTTTTTAAACCATCTTTTTGATATGTTATGTTTCGGCTTGGGTTTAATTGTCCACGCTCAACTGTAAATCACCACGATCCCTTACGTTATGGCAAGCTTCGGGGCCACTTCCTGGAGTCGTGGAGTTTTGGCATTACGAGTACGGTACACTTCATTAAAGCGTGTTATATAAAAAAGAGTATTTTTAAATATTACGTATTAACTGAAGAGTACGCAACAGTGATGACGAAACGAGCCTGCTCTGTTTACATTCGCTCAGCCAATGACACCCCCACCCCGTCCCTATGTCACTATTACATTTGTAAAAATAGATTTGTTATTCAATGTAATTACATTACCTCCGATTATCACGGTTGACTACGTACGGTGCGAAAGAAATTCCACATACATACGCACATAGAGTATGCTCTGAGCCAAGTAGCTCCTCAAACCTCGTCTCCCACTGCTGCCACGTACGAGTACAGGAAAATGCACCAGCTGAATTATTGGGGCTATTACCGATACCCCAATAAAGTCCTCATATAGTAATAGGTTTTTACCCTTTTAACTGGTACAAAACTGACACCTTCATACAAGGGATCATGTTTGCAATAACCACAACACAAGCAGTCAAAATGCAAACAAAAAGAAACAACTCTGATAATGATATGCACTGTCCATGAAGTTGATTGGTCCACACCCGAGACAGCTTTTCTTAGAGCCGAGTCTCCATTGGTGTTGGACCAGATGACGTCAAAAGGCGTACAACTCAAAAACAGCGCACTATCAGAGTATTGAGAGCTCGGGGTAAGCATTAACACTATCAGTGGCAAAATCTAGTAAAAGGTGTTTACCCTTTCAAATGGTACAAAACTGACACCTTTATACAAGGGATCATGTTTGCAATAACCACAACACAAGCAGTCAAAATGCAAACAAACAAAAAACAACTCTGATAATGATATGCACTGTCCTAGAAGTTGATTGGTCCACACCCGAGACAGCTTTCTTAGAGCCAAGTCCTCACATGTTTCTCCTGTGTAAGAAAACGCTGTACAATGCTTTAACTCTCTTCAGCACTGATACGATTAGTGCTCACTTCTCCAGGGCGCTGTACAGTGCAAGTTATATTTAACACTATCAAAATATGATTCAAATTTACGTTAAAAACCAAAACCCTGTTTTTACACTATGCCTTTTGAGTTTGTCGATCGCGGATTTACCGATTGCAGCTTTGTTCAAGAGCGTAACCACCCGCCGCGATGGGAAAGGTCGCGCTTAATGTGCGTCCATACAAGGCGAACGCTCTTGTTCGATTCGGGCACGTTTTTAGCAAAAACACGGAACGCGGTTTCTAAGCGATCGAGGACGAATAACCATACTTGAGCTGCGCGACTGAACGGTATGATGTGCCATGGTTTGACTCATCGCCTGTCAACCACTTTATCAGTGCCTACTTTATTAAAGACCAATTCAGACGTTATTGGTCACCCCGTGCCCTTATGAATATCAACGTTCATCCTACAAAGCCCGGATTAAAACTGCAATACGTGTGGACCTGAAAACTCAATCTCGCTGTACAAGAATACGGGCACACCGTATGGGTTGACAGGTATGGATGACTAAGGGTTGATGTTATAGTGCAAATGTATTTAAAACGTGCATTGTTTTATTATGTATGTATGCCCCGTGATGTGTATACTTCAATACCTCGCTTAACGCGGCACTGTTCAGGATAGCACCCTCCTCGACGTGTAATTAAGCGCAACTGCGCTTCAGTTACCGCTCAGCACGAGTGGCACCCTGCACTTGCGATCTCAGATGCTCACAGGAACTTAGCCAACGCATAACGAGTTATTTTAAACATTACTTTTAAAGTTGTGAACCCTAAAAAAACGCGTGTAAAGGTAGCCGAGGAACGAATTTGTTGACAAAGTACCACAGTATGAAACGCTGCGTGATGCATGTTTACAACCCTGTGCAAGGGCACCGCCGCTCAGACGTGGCCCCATTACTCAATGCAATGTCATTTGACGCCAGTGCTTTACCATTTGTAATCGTGTAATCTCCCCAAGGGAACCAACAGCACAGCAATGCTAAGGAATAAATAATGATTGCATAATCTCGGCTGCATAGTGTGGGCGAGAAGTTCCATTACCTCCATGTTAAAAGATAACATTTTGCACGGGAGGTAAACGAAGATATTGTAAACTGCAGTTAAAATGTCACGATTGCACGTCTGCGTCTACATAATGTACGTTCAGTTGCATATTTGTTAATGATTTCCCTATGCATGCAGAGAATAAAGGGCGTTTGACCAAACCATCCCTAATGATTATGCAGCAGTGATTCCGTGCAGAGTCCGTGCGCGACGTCACTGATCAAAATGCATTGCTCCCTACCCATCAACCGGTCTTCTATCAACAACTCGAACACAAACGTTGCATGAATAACAACACCGATAACAACAATAACAAAAGCGGGACCGCCGAGGCTTGCGGTAAGAGATCTCGTGCAAGGACCTCGCCTAGAGACCCCTACCGAGGAAGCCTCCCCCTCCCGGGCACCGCCGATAGGAACACCGCTGAAAGCCTCGGCCTACAGACCTAGCGCGTGGGGCGGCCATCGAAGCAACACAACAACGGAATCACCGCAATCGTTACAACGGCGATACACACACGCTACAAGCAGTCGCGGTGTCGCTGCGGGCCGGGGGGAGGAGAGAGACGTTACCTCGGGCTGGAATACGGGCGCGCAGCCAGCCTGCTTCTCGTCGTCAACCATTTTCACGCCGTCCGCCATCTTGTTCGGCCCCGGCGCGCACGGCATTGTGGGTAGAGGGGGCGGGGCTACCCCTCTCATCCCTCCCCCCTCACACCCCCCCATCTTATCCTGCCCCCTCTTATCCCCCTCCCCTCACATCCACCCCCCCCTCTCATCCTCCCCCCCCCATTCCACCCCCCCTCTCATCCTCCCCCCCCATTCCACCCCCCCTCTCATCCTCCCCCCCATTACACCCCCCCCCATTACACCCCCCCTTCTCATCCTCCCCATTCTCATCCTCCCCCTCTCATCCTCCCCCTCTAATCCACCCCCCCCCCATTACACCCCCCCCTCTCATCCACCCCCCCATCCCCCCCCCATTACACCCCCCTCTCATCCTCCCCCCCCCATTCCACCCCCCCTCTCATCCACCCCATTCTCATCCCCCCCCCTCTCATCCTCCCCCTCTAATCCACCCCCCCCCCCATTACACCACCTCTCATCCACCCCCCCATTACACCCCCCCCTCTCATCCACCCCCCATTCCCCCCCCCCATTAAACCCCATCCCCCTCTCATCCACCCCCCCATTCCCCCCCCCCCTCTCATCCACCCCCCCACCCTCCCCCCACCACGAGGGGGCAGCAGCGCGCGCTGATTTTGGCCACGGAGAGCCAACAGCCACGGACCGAACACACAAACCCGCGGCGACTTCATAAACTCGACGCACGGCCAAGTGAGGCTTTATACCACTTACAAACGGGCAGGAAACGAAGTACCGTATGTTTATCACCGCCAATAAATTAACGGCACTAATGGGGAACTAGAGGGGAATATTTAAATACAGCATACTTCATTTGCAAATGGGGCTACGCGTTAGGATAGCCAGAAAACACGTGTTAAATCACATTAAGGCATTAATCTTTTACATGCACTGATTTAATAATAGAAAGTAAAATAATACAAGTCAAATATGGGTGCAGTATTTAATTTGTGTACAACTTATTAACTGGCATTCGTCTCTCAGTCTTTACTACACCAACAGCTTACTCATAATTAGCTATTACCACGGTTAAGTTTGTGAATGAGACCATACAATAGCACTTATATATTAATGATCAGTGAGCAGCAAGTTTTGTACCCAGTAAAAATGGTACTGACACTGTGGAAAGCCCCCATCTGTGGAAGAGGGGGGGAATGGTGATTGGGAAAATTTCAGATAGAAATTGGTACGTTTCAGATCCAGTGTTGGTATCTGACCTGGCACATCACACTCATGGAGAAGTTACAATCACTATGTCGAGTTATAATATCAGTGGCGAGGTGCAATGTCCGTGGTGCTGCACAACGCACACGTTGTGGTACATATTCCTTGACATGGTACATTGTACATGGTGTGGTGCAATGTCAAGTGCCATGTTCTGCTGCGAAGTCATGTGATGTCACACCTTGAAGCCGTGTTTTCCGCTACGTGGCATTTCAGTAAAACACGATATCTCCAACCTCAGATAGACAGCGGGGCGGAGGGGTCAAGAAAGAGACATGGATGTCACGGAGATCACGGGGGAGAAGTGGACATCATGAACTTCGTCGAGAGTGAGAACACGTGGGTGGCAAAACCCATCCACCCCATCCATTCGAAGCCACGGCTCAGAGTTGATGTGCGGGTTGGTTCCACGCACGCGCAACGTAGCGGAGGCAACAAACACTCAACCCGACTCACCTCAAAGGAAAAAATCACTCGGACCTCTAAGGAAACGATGTGCGGCAGCAGCAGCAGCAACCACCACATCGATATATTTCACGACGCTTGTGTACGGCTCGCGATGTGATGTCAGTAAATCGTTGCATGCCTACAACGCAATGTTTACATAAAAATACTGTAAATCACGTGAAATAAAATTAATGAAGTAATCGAAGGTATTAAGGTTCGTTTTTATAATTGAGCCCAGGTCTGGTGGGGTGTGTGACTGGCAGATGCGTTTATGAAACAATGCGTGCCGGACGCGTTGCCATCCCAGTGAGTGGGAGCATCACACCCTGGGTCTTGTTGAAGTCTCACTTGGCCTGGTGGAGGAAGTCGGCAGTCAGCCATGGAAAGCCTGGCAAGGAAGCGTTTCATTTTCATTAATAGATTTTAAAAATTGTCATAATGTCGTGAGTTCAACTGAGTCGCAGACGTACTCTTGGAGGCAACACATTTATTTAGCACCAACACACGGGGTAACTGCCCCTTAACAGAAGAACAAACTGTGGTGGTGACCACCAGGCTAACTACACTAATTAGTAATTACACCGTAACGAGCTACAACGGACCGGACCACAGTTCGGGTCCAGGTCCATGTGTTAGAGACTTGGTAGGACGTGGACAAGGCTTCTTCAAGATGAACAACAACGCCGGTCCCTCTGGGGGACCCGGCTTATATCTTCTGCGGCGTGGCTGGCTTAGCTCTTAGCCACGACCACCTTCCAAAATCCTCGAGCAGGATCTGAACCCCGACCATGTGACCACCCCTAGCCCCCACTTGGGGCCCCTGTGTAGACTTAACCGGCCACGTGCCCTCTCGGGTCAACCAGAGTGCCATGGCCCTCAATAACCCCGTTTCTATGACCGGCACTCCCACACCCTGTCCTGTAGGGGCCTGCACTGCACGGCAAGCGCGGTGCCATCCAGCGCTATTAATCAGCGCTCACCGGGCCCGTTCAGGGCCGGTATTACACCCACATTGTTGTGGTCTCCGCGATGTCGCTACATCGCACGCCGTGCCTCTCTATGGCCGGCACTATTGTAGTGACATCTCGGGATGTCACTACAATAATAAAGTGTTATTACAAACGCAAATCCGAAGAAAAGTGGGTTTGGGAAGGAGACTACGAAAAGTGATGATGGCCGGTAGGTGACTGATGAAATAGCAGCCAAAGGGAAATGAGACAACACGCAATAAAGTACCACTGCCGAGATGGCGTGATCAGAACAGTTCATGTGCGGTGATGGACTGTGGCATCAAACAATCCCAAGGCATGCCGATGGCATGAGGAGTCTCGTGATGGTGAGGTGTAACAATTTCCAAAAAGGGGAGCAATTCGTTAAAATATTTTCACGCATTCAAATAATTGCATATGGCTGCAAGCTAAAATCGTTCCTTCACTTGAGAAAGGGATTGTTTCCATCACGGTTTAGAGCTCCTTTAGGATCTTGACTGCCTTGCCGGCTCTGTAGTCACAGGGCTTCATTAGCCCCGTTTCCCACTGCCTCCTATCCATTTTTAACTTTGCCTGAAAAAAAAAGTGAATTCTGGCTGTGGTTGTCTCACCTGATGACAGGACGCTTGTGTTGCGCCAGAAACGTCGTGATTTAATTTATTTTATTTTATACCTACGTGACTTTATCGAAAGAACCAAAGAGTATGAATTATTTCACGTACAATACTGCCTTTGTAAATTCACTGTTGAATGAATGCCTCAATGTCCAGCATGGGGGTTGATATACCATACTTCACCAGAATTTGCAGATTACTTAGAGGGCAAGAACGGTTTAGATATCACATCTGTCCAGCACTGCCCCCAAAAATATATACACAGTGAAAATTACGTATAACAAAAAACTAAAATTTTAACACGAAATAAAACTTCGCAAATATACATTTCACACGAATTAATTGCAGACGTTTATTGCTCAAACACCTCCCCTTCACAAGCCAGCCTTGCTGGCATCTGCAATAAGTCACCTGCAACTCGCTTTCAATCTAACTTTTAATTAGAGTAATTTCCATTTACGCGAATGAAAAGGCACTTGTAAAGCTAATAGGACGGATACAAACGATACGTCCTTCCAAAAACACTTATCCTACTTGCAAGATCTATACCGCAACACAAAGGAAACGTAACAGCAAACACCCTGAATTGACATACTGTATCATCTTTCCGTGGTCGATAAAGTGGGTATCATTTTCTGGCAAAGTGAGCAGCGCTCCCGTGATCTTGACAGAACGGCTCCAACCCAAGCGACAAAAACTGCGCATCCAGAAACACGAGCGCCTCCCGACGGTCAACGTGAGCGTAGAGAAGCCAAGAATAAACGTGGGAAAATCTTAAATCATGAAGTTAATGTGAGTGAGCGGTTGTTATGTTGCTCCAGGAGCCAAGTTGCCAGGAGACATTGATTGACAGCAGTAGTCATCGTGATGCGTACCGCAGCGTTCATCGGAACCTAGGTACACAGAATCAGTCCCACCACCAGATGGACCTGCGCGCCTCTAGTTGCCCTATAGGGGCCGTCCATAAATGACGTCACGCGAGTTTGGACTATTTTTTACCCTCCCCCCCCCTTCGTCACACGGCGTCACAAAAAGTCAGACCCCCCCTCCTCAAATATGACGTCACAAAGCTCTGCCCCCCGCCCCCCCCAAAAAATAAAGCATGCTTCAAATCGTTTTAAACTATTGTCATTGTAGTGCGTATTTAATGTGGCGCTGCACTCTGATATTGTAGGAGAAAACATTTATTAAAAGTCTATTAAATTAAGTAGAACATGTTGTCTATATTTATTTAAAGTTGCGCATTTTGATGTGACGTCACATTTCTCACCCCCCCCCCCCCTCGTCACACGTCGTCACAAATGTCTGACCACCCCCCCCTAAATACGTGACGTCATTTATGGACGGCCCCATAGGACTCGATTGAACAAAATAAACATACATGATGATAAACTTAAACATATTTTGGTCTGAAAGCGCACGCCAGTCTGTGTGTACTCCTGCAGCAGAGGACGGATCAACCCTGGCGAGTGGGGCCTTGCATTCGGAGGAACTCCCAACAAATCTGTTCCAAGTTAAGTTCCATCAGTTCTGGATCCGTTTGCATCCAGATCCTCACATCTGTGACAAAGGGCCCGTGGCCAGTGGACGAGTTCCGTGTTCTATGGACCCACAGAGGCTGTTGTACACCGCTTCTCCACTGCTTCCTCGATTTGCTACCAAGATTTTGTATACAAGATAATGAAGCTTACATTTTGTAGTTTTGTAATGCGGTTGTATCTTGAATATATATACACACACACACAACTGTTTAAATGTAAGAGTACACCAGCAAAACAAAAATATGGGATTTGTTTTATTTCATCCAAGTGCAAAACACCATGCAAAAGTGAAATGTCTTGGCAAAGATAGAAACATATGCATTTGTTTTACGATATGTACCCCAGCCTGCCTTGTTCACATAAAAAAAATTTGCTCTTTTTACCGTGAACATTTTTAGCACATGTTAGGATATATTAAATTCCAATTCTAAAACACTGCAACTTAACTTGTAACTGAAATTCTGTGAGATTTGTGGATTAGATTACTAAAGTGTAAACCTCAGAGTTCTGACAAAGACCATGAAGCAACCATATGCTACTGATTGAAAAGACGCACCTTCTCCCCCTCTTTTAGAAGCGTTATGGGGTGCTTCTTATAATTTCAGTCGGGGTATGTATGACCAGATTTGTATAACTTTATTGACACCGAGCATACGTTCGTAGTGTCTCTTCATATTAATTTCCGGAGCATCCTATAATCCTGTGAATGGGATATTGAGCCACTTGGGTTTTCCAAATGAGCAGGTGGTGCTTCACATGACTGCCTGTTTATCCATATGTAACTCATGCAAAGTGCAAAAGTGGATGGCTGACAAATCTATACGATTCGGGGTAGTCCTCAGGATTGAGTTAGGTTGATCGTTTAGCATTGTGAACATTGATGCCTCCTCCACACAGCTCCAAATTTAAATTTCAAATAAATCATCACAAAGTGGACCAGAAAATAGAATTTTCACTACAAAAAAACACGCTGCAGGACATCTCATTTACCAACATATAGGCTCTTAATGTAAATGTCGATAGAATCAAAACAAAAGTTACAAATAAATCAGTCTTTCCATCGGGGTGACTACGTTTTCAGATTCGCACATCACACACAGCGGGAATGGGTAACGCAAAAGCCATCACATGCCAGACTCCCCAACAAAACGATGGCATCAACAAACCATTCACACCGCGAGCGATGATCCGTAAAATTACATTTTAAAGCCGAACCACACCTGGCATGAAAGGTCTAGGAGTTGCCAACCACGAGCACGAGACGTCAACAATGCCAACAATTGCCAATCTTGCCCAGGTCATTGGAACAAGCCAGTACGTCAGCTCTCCTGCCGTGCCGCCGCTGCATTCGCCTTGGGCCGCACGCCGGTTTTACGAGCCTTGCGCCGTTCGCGGGGTGGTCTCTCCAGCAGCATTTGGGGCGGCCGAATGTTGATGCGGTCAATCTCCGCCTCCTGTTCCTCGTCGTAGCGCTCCTCATCATCTTCACCGCCGCCATTCTCACTCTCACTCAGGAAGGAGTTTGAGCGCAGAGAGGCCGACGGGGAGGTCGGCACGGAGGCCGGGCGAGGATAGCGGAATCCAGCCTCCTCCTACAGGCAGCACAGCACGACAAGAGGCCAAGCTGACGACTGCTGTCATGGCTACCACACGCTACGGTCACAGGTACGTACAACAGCAGTGGTGCAAACCCATTGGGTGCCCCAAACAGAAATTAGTTTTGAGCCCTTTCAATTGATACTATCCTAATGAGATGACAGAAGATATCGATTTGGTGAGATAAAAAGACTGTAGATAAAGCTAGATAAGGAGAGGTCCAGACAAGACAGAAATGGGAGAAGTTGGATATTTAGGCTAATTAATTTATGTTTATGAGGATTTGATTGAGCATCGTGGTAGTAAATGCTGAGGATTGGCATTTGAGTGTCTTAAGGGTTGCACTTTGCACTCCTATTGTGTTTTTGTAGTGTTTGTTGTTGTAACTGTCTGGCCCATCCCTACTGGACATCTGTGAAAGAGACCTTCATAGCTCATCAGATTTCTTCAGGATGAATGAAATAATCTAAATTGCTTGGGACCCGAGGCTTTTGCTTAGTTTGATTATGCATAATGCTGCCACTGTATAACAGGAACATAGCTAAACTATAATTGCCTTTCAAATGCACACAATCATTGGTTTGTATTGCACCTGGTCCAATTATATTGTACGACTAAATTGCAGACTGAGTGTATTGCTTGCATATCTTTATTTACCAAGTCTCGTAAAAGAGAATCAAATAATGTCAGGTAAGTTGTACAAAGGGTTAAACATTGGGATTCATTCTACATTAGTTGAATTAATATGGCAGGATTGAAGATATATGTTTGGCATAAATGGAATTGCTTGGAAAGACAAAGGAACAAATGGATTTGAGAACATATGCAGGTTAGCAACATCATTGAAATTGTAGTTTTGGGCAAGACATCGCTAAAATGGATGTCGGACAATGGTAAAGAACAATAATGAAGTGGCAGTCAAGGGTTGACATTCTTACAAGAGGACGCACAACGAGAAGATGGAACGATAAATCATCTCGTGCACATGTGGTATAGGACACCGCAAGAACAATATAGATAGTGGGCATCTTTGGGAAGGCCTTCATCCAGCAGTAGATTGACCATGGCTGATAATGGCAGCATGTGGTAAAAATGTATCCCTTAGCAGTGTCTTTAAATGGGCCTTCATGCGTTTGAGAATTTCACCGATTTACAGAGCTTTAATGCAAGGGACCCAAACTCGATGTCCTCACCAGTTCAGTTTCCTCAGCATCATAAGTGAAACTTTCCGGAAACTTCTTGGCCAGTGCCATGTGTCTGGCCTGTGCATAAAACTAAAAACAAAGACAGACAGGAATAGTTATTCAATACTTGTTTTTCATACAAATGTGGTGGCACTGTGGTTAGTGTACTGCGCTATGAACCCAGTGACCTTTGATTATATTATCGGCCAATAGTAAACAATGGCAAGTCATAACCCCCCCCCCCCCCCCAAAAAAAAAAACACCTCCTTCAACCTGCACCAACCAACGTTAAGTAAAAACTAAAAAACTATTAATATTTCCAGGTAAAGAAGCATGACCAAACAACCCCGCCATAACAGACAGCCTGGGAAGGCTTTCACCCGGCAGTGGAATGAAAAATGGTTGTATAGTATATTATTATTGTTTAAACTTTATTAAGCCGCCTCGTTTTTCACCGTTAACTAGTTATAAACACAAGAAAAATCATGCACATGCATGGATCAGTAACATTTTCCGCAGGCCTCAGAATTATTTGGCTAATTATGAGTAACGATGTCGCGTTTCAAGCCGCACGGATAGACGTCGCCACAGACATTGACATCGCTGGGAGGGGAGGCGCACATGTGCCGCTGCCGCCCCCATCTGCTAGAGCAAAAACCTTTTAAGTGCCGTTTTTTGTCTCCAAGGTTTTGACCACCCTTCCACAAATATGGTTGCTTTTCTCAAGGGTAAGTGCCTAAAAGCAGAACGGCTTTATACACGATGGAACTTTAAATTGTGTCCACGTTGGATAACCTTCACGAGAGACCTCATGCTCCCGTGTAACAGACAGACAAAGCCAATGCATTTATGTTTTCAAACTTAGTTGGAATTCGTTCAAAGGGGCAGTACTGCTTATTAGGACGCAGTATAAAAAGGCAGTTTTCCAAAAGGCTATCTGTGCAGATGTGCATTCTTACTTTCCGACATCCATGGTGTTTTCAATTCAATGCAGGGCTCTCCTGAAGCGCAGTCTTAAGACACCACTACTGGCGGAAGGCCCTCCGCTTGAGGGGGCTTCTCAGGAGCTCCGAGAACGTATTTTGGCGTGCTTTTCCAAGATGGCCAGAGACATCTTAAAAAAGTAAGCGAGGGGGACCCATACTTTTCCCCCACCACACACGATCTGCTCGATCGAGAGTGGCGCGCGTTCATTTATAAATCGCCAGGTGGACAGACGCGAGAGGGTTTAAGAAATGTTCCCCACCGTTTCATCTGCCCTGCTCGAACATGACAAGGAGTTAATAAATCAACGGCCGGTTTTACCTTGTTCAGATACCTCCAGTCGAGCAGGTCCGATAGGCGCTCGGTGCGATTGCGCTGCACCACGCGCTCGCGCCGCGACTGCCGGCAGAAGCTGAACAGGAAGCGCGTGAGCTGCTCGCACGACTCCTCGGGTGACTTGAAGCGCCGGTCCACGATGTAAATGCCTGTCGCAGCAGTCACGGCGGCAGCAGTGGACGCGATGGTAGTTGGGGTAGTAGTGTAGCGTACAACAGCACTTGGACAGCGAGAGCACATGGCACAGCTCGCAAGCGGCACCACCATTTTACGAGCAAACGGGAGCTAAACGACGCCGTGGACAACGAGTACTATTAAAGCCGGGTCTTCTGCGGGGAGGCGCTGTAGCTGAGGAGATACAAAGGTGGCTTAACTTGTACTGTCACGGAGGGCTTTTTGACCCTACTTCACTCCATTGGTAAGTGCAAGCTGCTGAAGGAGGTGCCGCATGACCGGTGTCGGATATCACTCGCCACTTGCGTCACCCGTGGTCAAGAATCAAACGCAGGTAAGCGAGGTTCTTAATGCATTAGGCTAAGCATCGCGCCACTATTCCCGTGACAATTTAATTATAGTTCAACGAGCAAAGCAGCAAAAGAAAAAAACGACGTCAGAGGTGATAGGAGTTCAGAGATTACAAGAGTTCAAAGATTCGGAGATGTGGGTGCAAGCGTTGTTGGCGCCCTACCGTAGGATGTGGGATCGGCGATGTGTTCCGCCATAAAGGAGCCGAACCCAGACAGGTTGGTGGTCACACTGGGGATACCCATCACTGTGCACTCGGCTGACATGAGAGAGAAGAGACATCCACCTCGACACCGGTTATAATGGCAAACAAAGACAAAGACAAAGATCCCCCGTATAGCCTGAACAGACTGTAGGGGCAAGTGCTGTTAGCGAGCACCTATGAAGGCCGGAACGGTTACACGAGGGGGTGGGTGGCCAGCACCACGCCCGACCGCCTTTGTCTCCCTAGTGGCGATGTTTACACACCGCACCAGGTACTCATTTAAGGCTGAGTCGACCTAGGGGAGGCCCAGGACCGGTTCAGATAATCGTCACTGGTGTTAGCCGTGAGCGGGAATCGAACCCGGGTTGCCAGGTTCATAGCGCAGCGTGCTAACCGCTACACTACCGCTCCCCACAATGGCAAACGCACACACACACACTGCCTTCTGAACACTGATGGTATCGCGGTTAGCAAAGAGCCACATAGACTGTTAGAATTTTGAAATTATATGGTGATCTAAAATTATATGGTCAATGCAAGTTCACAGTTGTAAGGAGTTTTGATGTTAACTTCTTTGACAAAACTTCCACGGGATGGTGTCGATGAGATTAAGCACCACGGTAGCGAGATGTTAAATACCTCGCCTGGAATGCAGAAGGTTGTGAGTACTATCCCGACCCTGGCACCTGTTGTATAAATCTAATTAGTATGATCTCTCTGGTCGTGTGGATTTTTCTCTGGGTCCTCCAGTTTTTATCCCCTCCATATTTAGAAACGTGCATTAAGTATTTGGCTGTTATAGATTTCCACACGATAAGCCACTTCATTGTGCCATTATTTGTGGCCAGGTCACTTCTGAAAAAGAGCGATATAGCTCAGTGGGCCTTACCTGGTAAAATAAAACGTTTTTAAGAGTTTAGTTTAGACTAATACTTTGACTAAATGAAGACTGCTAATAACCATATATGCAACCACACAGCCAATTGTGCCCCCCCCCGTCGCATAGGGATTCACGGTTGTTGCTGTACAACTCTCAGATGTGTTTTCGGGTTGAACCGCACGTTGTCAGGCTCAATGTCCAAGGTTTGGCTTGACATGCTGGGAGCATCTTCAGCAACCAAATGTAGTTCACAACAACATGCAGTAAACACAATCGGAAAACACATTGGAAAGCTAGGACTGCCACACGTCTCACCAGGCGTGTAGCCCCAGGGCTCGTAGTAAGAGGGGAAGACCCCAAGGTGGCAGCCCCTGACGAACTCGTCATAGTCCATGGGAAGCAGTGGAGAGGCGGAGGAGAGGAATTCCGGGTGGAAGACGACCTGTTTGGGTGCAATCCCAGAGGCACAAATTAAGCGCCTCCTATTAGCACGGTTGACTACGTACACTGCGAAAGAGACGAATTATTACCAACCATTTTTATTTTACCAGGTAAGGCCCACTGAGCCATACAGCTCTTTTCAGAAGAGACCTGGTCACAATTGATGGCTCAAATTAGTGGCTTATCGTGTGGAAATTCATAGCAGCAGCAAGTACTCTAAATGCATGCCGATCCTAAATGTGAAGGAAAAAAACCGAAGGGCCTGGGAGAAAATCCACACGACCACGGGGAGAACATGCGAACTCCATATACAACAGGCATCATCAGGATCGAAGTCGAACATACAACCTCCTGTATACTAGACCAGTGAGTTAATGTCATACATCCAGCGACAGTTGAAATATTGTTACAATGGATCTTTGTTCAGGAACCATGATTTTTCTTGAGACGATTCGTGATATTCAGGAGAATTTTGTGTCGTCATGTGTGGACATTTCCGTTTAAAATACTGTTGCCCTATAGTGGCACAAATGTACCACTTTACCTAAAAGGTCTTCATCATTAAACCAATTATTCTTGTAGAAATTGACAAGCACCTAAAGTATCACTTGTACAAACCTAGAACGCCAGCAGGAATAGCTGAGGTGAAGACTTTTGCAATATCCACAAGAAGATTGGCCATAATTGTCAAATTGTCATTGGTTCACAGAAATCCTGCCACTACTACAATACATGAACCACGGTGCAAACAATACTTTTTTTTTGCAAAACAAACGGTGACCTCCAATTGTGACAAGGAGTCATTTTATTCCTAGCAGAGAGGGTGCATCAGTAGCAAGCATGAGTGATGATAAAATGGTTCAAAGGTCAAGTGGGCTTGGTTAAAGCAATTTGAGAGTGGAGTTGCAGGTCCGTGGTTAGCGCTCTGCTAGTAATCAGTGACCGAGTTCGACTCCTGGCTATGGCTAACATCAGTGGCGAATGATATCTGAACCAGCTCTGGGATACTTCACCAAAACTCCTCTAACCACCATGGTGAAGTAGAGTAAGTGAACCATCCATCCATTTTTTATGTGAGGGAGGCCTTCATGCAACATTTCAGTGATAAATATGCTATAAATTATAATGAGTACTCTTCTTGGTTCTTTCGGTAAAGTCACGTAGAATGGAAATAATAAAATAATAAAAATAAAACATAATAAAATAATTCTCACGACGTTTCGGCCACAACGCAAGCAGCCGTCCTCAGGTGGAGAACAGGTCTGTCGAGAAGACAGAGTCTGAATCCACCTGAGGACGGCTGCTTGCGTTGTGGCCAAAACGTTGTGAGAATTATTTTATTATGTTCTATTTTTATTATTTTATTATTTCCATTCTACGCGACTTTACCGAAAGAACCAAGAAGATGAATCCCTGCAGTCACGAAAGCTTTAAATCTAAATATAATGAGTACTTTTAATGCTAATATGCATCGTGGATAAAATACACCCTCTTGCTAAATGCTTGCTCTCATTTGTATTATCATGCAACGTGGGGAGTCCGTCGTTCAGCAGCGGATTAAATAAAGGGCCAGTGAAAAGGAAAAAGGATGCTGGGCAGCAGTGGAGAATGAGAGGCGACGGAGACGGCGAGGGGGAGGTGGTCACGCGGGAACCGAGACGTCGCGAGTGCACGGGGCTCGTCACCTTGACGCGGTCGCTGCGGTTGTTGAAGAGGCCGATGCGGCGCACCGTGTTGAGGATGGGATCGCTGTTGTCGTCCTGCATGTTGTGAGTACACACGGGTGGCAGCAGGTGTCTCTGTGGGAGCCACAGGGACAGCACCGTGATGCAGTGGAAATGCATCCAGGGCACAGCTAAACCCCCAAGGTAACACTGCCAACAATCGTCAGGGCTTGGCCAGCTCACAATGTGGAAAGCTTAGACTAAATTTAGTGCGATGTATGCATTAATGTAGCTACGTAACAATAATTAAAATGTGTAATGTGCATTCAATCCAAGGATCCCAATATCAGACAGCACCGTACATATAAACTATATTAAAACTAATTCGGTATTCGTACTTTTTTTACATAGTGCAAGGTTATAATGGAAAAATTATGTTTCGAAGGAAGTCTCTGTAGTAGTTTCATAGTAGGGAGCACATTTGTCTACGTGTTATCCCAATTGCTTAATTTGCAAGTAATATTTCAAAAAAAAAAAAAATTGGTCCATGATACCGGAACATAACGGCCTACTATTATGAAATGGAATAACGCAATCTTTAAAATGTGCTGTCAAGCAGACTTGTATTTTATGGTTAATCAATCTGTAGTAGTATCCGGGGCTGCCTGCCGGACTCGAACCGCGGGCTTCTGCAACAAACGGGAACATGCCTCCGCTAGGCCATGTCCCCCCGCTCCATAATAGACAACAGTACAAAAATCCATGATTGTAATGTACTTTGCTCCTACTTCGATGCTTCCCATTTCACGAAATCCACACTGACAAACATTCCAGTTAACGTGCAACGTTGACCCAACCTTCCATGTCTACTCAGATGAAGTGTGGTCAAAATATCATCATGACCCACAACAGCGTGGGGGAGACCATCATCCAACAGTGGATTGAAAAAAAAGAGCCATTTTAACCAGCCAAGACGACAGTTGTAAACATGTAAGGCCTCCCCTCGCAGTGTCGGTCATGGAAATTATATGATCATACTTCACCATGCATATACGGTACAATGTATCGTGTCATTACACAACGTGTGCTACTTCGAGTTGTCCACCAGGTGACACCACTCCATGAGACTAAAATGCCGTTGCATTTTTTTGGGGAAGGGTTCTTGTGACTGTCAGAAAGTGTACACAGACCATATTTAATCCAATAGGTCCAGTTCCTGCCAGTCAAGAGCGAGCTCTTGCTGAACACTTTATGACTCAAGCGATGTAACTGACAGACTGACTGATTAGACATGTATTTATTGATATATGAATAGATCTGGACCAGTACAATACCTGTGCAGAAAATATTGCTCTCTTCAGATGCGTAACATCCTCCCCATCCAGACAGTGACTGATGTCTGGAATCTCACTCCTGCACACACAGTAAAACTGCTGCAATGAGAAATGTATAAAACTCTGCTCAACTTGTTTTGATTAATGTTGTGAACTCTCAATTCTGGTCGCATTTGCATATTTTAAAGTTTGCAATACTTAAAGGGGCTGCACCATAGAGTTTTGCAACTCCCCACACTATGTTTTATATAAAATTTGCATTAATATCTAAAATTCACTTAGGAGGTAGATTTATTTTGGAATTGCATGTTTTATTCATAACCAAATAATTGGATGCTATGCTGCAATATCATGAAATTACTTCAAAATGCACAATTCAAAATAAACTATTAAAATCTTTCATGAAGTTAACTCAAACTGTTCAGAAAAGTAAGTGCGCTTGGGCAGAACCCTTTGCTTGAAGGGATGATTGCCAAGAATATTGACGATTGGCCAAGAATATTTGGTCATTGGCAGCCAGAGTAGAAAACTGACCAAGGAGGAACCGGCAAAGAGATAGTGTGTTGAAAGCAGCTTGTGTTCAGGTGCTGTGTGGATTGTAGCATCGCTGGATCGCGGGAGACGATGGCGCCTTGGGGAAGGGGGCTATCATTTAACGGAGGATTCCACAGTGGCTGATAGACCGTGAACTCACATCAAGAGTGACTCGTAAAGCTTCTTTGCAAATTTTTCTTTGATCGTGTTAGCCGTGTCCCTGTAGAGAAAGAGCACAAGGTTATTTGAAGGCCACATAGGTGTGGGGCCCACTTACCATCCGTGCTTGCACATTCCCCAGGATTACGCCACATTGAGCAAGGCAATGCCGCGTGGTGATGCACGCATTTCCAGGTTTGAATGTTGGATTACAGACAAACTCCACTTGATCGGCAAGCATTGTTGGATCGCGACAGTGTTAACGTGCAGAGAAATTATGTGGCCAGCACATGGTAGTACAGCAAGTAGGCCACTGACTTATCCATAGGTTTGAATGTTACTCTCGCGTGCGTGGGTTTCATTGGTGCATTCGGGTGCCATCCCACGTGCAGAACATCAAGACGATTAAGACTTGCCTCAAACAACGATTCGATTGTCATTGAGAACTATCATTTGCTTAACTGGTTTCAATTTAAAGATTTCCTTACATGGGGTATCACTGTGCTGGAAGCTCATGACACAGATCCAGCATTAAATCGGAGAGGGGTGGGAAGGAAGGTCAAAAGCTGGTCATGTTATAATACCACATGGTGTAACCATGTGGCATTCAGATTGCGCAATCACCAGATTGTGCATTCACAACAGTGGTTCAGTGGTGTTGGGGGGTAGAGGCGATTATAGTAGTGGTGGTATTCTGGTGGGGGAAATGGCAAAGTTTAGGGGTTTGTAATTGTATGGGCATCTCTCAGGCTGAACCATCTCGAAACTGAATGAGGCTCTGGGCAGATGAGTCGAGACTGGTTTCCACAAAATGGCAGTACTACAATATATCGTACTATGTAAGATCCGCAAAAATAGTTTCATTGATTTCGCAACGTATGGTGATTATGGTACTACTAGCCTTTTGCCCGTCCATGGACGGGTGTATTGCAGTAAATCTGAAACTTGTAAGCGAAAATCAGACCGTGACGTGATATTCATTGCATCCATTCATGTACAATTTGTAAGGCCGCGGTGACACAGACTTATTTCATTTAAAGGTTATAATCCCTTGTTCATAATGACGTCCTTTTTACTTCTATGTCTCAATAGCATTACGGAAATCGCGTGACGTGAGGGTTCTGCCTTTGTAGTGAGGGTTGTAAGTTGAGGAAAAAATATATATTTTTGAAAGAGAGCAAAAATAATTCCATAACCAACATACTGTATGTTGCAAAATCAACAATACCATTATCGCGGATCTTATATCATTCTAGCAAATATTGCATAAACCAGTGTGCTTTTAAGCAATGTTTATTCATACTTCATGTGCATAATAGCACAAAAACGAGATGATAAAAATTCTAAATACATTTACAAGGTTAAGGGAAAATGATACATCGTGAAACCTAATACCGCATCATGAAAAATTAGTGGCAAACCTAGAAGAAACAGACATAAAAAGACAGAAAGACAGTGTTATTATGCATATTTGTGTCACCATTTCTCAAACACAGATGCAGGGCTGCCTGCTGGATTCGAACAGAGAGCCTCTGCAACGAGCAGGAACGTGCTACTGCTGGGCCTTGTCCCCCCACCCCATAATAAACAAAAAAAAACTATTATTGTAATGTACTATGCTCCTACGTCGATGCTCCCCATTTCACCGAATCCACACTGAGAGGGGGGGGGGGGCGGCAAGGGAAGAGCAACACAGAGGCAGACACATGGACATACAGAGAGAATGGTATCGGAGTCACAGAGACAGAGAGACGAAGAGCCACAAAGACAGACACACAGAGAGAGAGAGAGGCAGCGAGAATCTCTGGATATTATTTTGGGAAGCACGAGCAGAGAGAATATCACCGTCTTAACCACATCCAACACACCGTGTCGCTCTGCGCGCGCACGGACAGCCGTCATGTGACAGCCCTCCTCTTCCACCACCGGTGCAACCTCTCCGAGGGCAGCTTACCAGAGCTGCTTTCGCACCGCCTGCCCCTTCAGCGTCTCCACGTTGAAGTTGTTGGTTTGTGCCGGCATGATGAGGAAAGCCACCACAGTCACATCGCTGAGGGACGTCTTGGGAGGAACGAGACCAATTCAATGTTTTAACAATTATGTTGGCAGTCGAGGAATAAGCATTGGTCAGACAAAATATACAGCAATGAACAACAACAAAAGCACAAGCCACATGTTAACTGTTAAGCCATTTATTTAGATAGTGTAAGAACAATAATTGTTTTCTTTAAACATTTTAAATCCTACATGTTCTACAATTGAAAGGCAACATCTTCACTTTTTTCAACGCTAAAAGTTAGAATTCTTGAGCTGTAATGAAAGTGCATGTACAGCTCGCTCTTTGATAAGCTGCTGCGCTTTAAAAGGCAAATTTCCAGCAGCCCAGAGCTGGATTAACAGCTGTGTGGTTGGTGAACATGCCCTGCATGGGTCCATGGTTGCAAGGGAGGCCCTCTACTGGCATGTCTGGTATCTGTGAATGCACAGACTTAAAATGTCAACACTGAACACTGTAGTTATGGTGAAGAGAGCCGAGTATTTTTAAATCTTTTATATTAAGTTCACTTGCTTGCTTGCGAGCTTACGACCGTGCAAATCTTTCGGTCGTTTTTTAACCCACTTCCCGTGATCCAATCGAGCTGATATTTTGCACACAGACTCGTTGTGCGTGAAATTTTATTTTCGTGAATTTTTTTTTCCAAAATGTTACATTTTTTAGGGGAAAAAAATTATATTTAATTACCAATTGCTTAATGGTGGCAGGTAATCATCTGACCCATAGGTGGCAGCCATCTCAAGCCAGAGGACGAGAGAGGGTCTAGCCGCCACGCATATAAAGGATTTATAGTGAAAAACTTTGTTTTTACGGGTTAATTTTTTTGGTATCATTCGTGACTGGGCTGAGACCATCAACTCGTTGCGCTTGAGAACCCAGTCTGATCACTGGCGGCTCAGTGCTGAGCCACCCAGCCACTTATACCACCCTCTTTCCCTGTATTACAGAGCCCCACGCCCATACCAAGTCAGCATGGCACGGCACAGAGGGTGCCGCGTCGTTTTGCCGGTGTACGGTTGGCTCGGATGTGGCATTGGGAAAAAGGTTTTGTATGTATGAACTTGTTTCGCACCGTATGTAGCCAACCATAATCAATCGAAGGTGCGGGGGAAGGACAAACTAAACATCAAAAACGGTTCTATAGAAATTAGTTTTCAATTCTAGCTTTAAAAGTGTATAGCTGCAGTGGCTTCCTAATATCGGAAGGCAGAGTGTGTTCCAGACGGCCGCAGAAGCGCATCTGAGAGCGCGCGATGCAGTGACCGTCTTTGTTCAATGGCTAGCCACAAAATCCGCTGCGAGGATGACCGGAGTTGGCTTGATAGTTTACGCTCCTTCGTGTGTTAACCATCAGTGAGCTCTGCGGCCACACGTTGCTCACCTGCAGGCGGTAGTTGAGCCGAGTGAGTGCCTCCAGGAATAAGTCCGTCCCTTTGTTGGTGAACTCGTATCGCCCGGCCGTGAACAAAAACAGTGTTTTCTCAAAGTCGAAGTCAATGTGCCTACACACCGCCACAGTCGAGCACACAGCAGGGATGATTACTTGGAGGGTCACGGATGAGAGAAGTTTGACAAACGGTTTTTTAAACGACTGATAGTCATAAAAGATCCCCCCCCCCCATGGGCACTAAACTAAACACATTTTTTCTTTTACCAGGTAATGCCCAATGAGCTATACAGCTCTTTTTCAGAAGCGACCTGGCCACAAATGATAGCTCAACGAAGTGGATTATTTTGTGGAAATTTATATCAGCCAAAAGCTCGAAACACGTTTTTATAAATGGGGAGGGAAAAACTGGAGGACATGGAGACATATCCAAGCGACCACGGAGAGAGAAACATGCAACCTCCAAGTATAGAGGCATCAGGGTCAGAATCTAACCCACAACCTCCTGCATACCAGGCGAGGCAGTTAACATCTCACGATCGTGCAAAGTGGTTCCAAACAGGTGTCAGGGTCGGAATCGAACCCATGACCTCCTGCATACCAGGCGAGGGAGTTAACATCTCGCCATCGTGCAAAGTGGGTCCAAACAAGTTTCATGGTCGGAATCGAACCCACAACCTCCTGCATACCAGGCGAGGCAGTTAACATCTCGCCACCGCGTCACATTCAACTCTGTGGCGCACCCGTAAAAGTGCCCCCGAATGAACTCCTGGATGCGCAGTTTGCTGAGCACATGCAGGTTCTGGAACTCGTGCGTCGCCGAAAACTTCTTGAGACTCAAGCCGTTGGGGGTGATGAAATCTGCGAGATAATGCACGAGGACATTATCCAGGTCATTTACAGAGGGCAGGTGGTGATAATGGTTGTATGCTGATGGTGATGATGGTGGTACCATAATGGAAGTGTTGGTGGTGACAAAGCCGATAATAGTAGTGATTGTGGCAAAGGACTTAAAGTTGTGATAATTATAGGCTGGTTACAGAGGTGGTGGTAGCTGTTGTGGTTCAGTGGTGTTTATAATGGAAGTAGTGTTGGTTGCGACGGTGGTGATGGTGTTGAAGGTTATAATCGGTGATGGTGGTGATAATCAGTGTCAGTGCAGGTAGTGGTGATCGTAGTCATGGGACCGAGTGATGGTGGTGATGGTGATCATTAAGACAGTTATGAATAACAATTGGACGATTGATCAATAGATGTATGGGTAGGTATGTCCATCGATGGTGACCAACGGAGGCAACCGCCCAACTATGCCCGATGGGATGGAGGCAATGCATTAGAATTAAATGAAGGACCGGAAAATAAACGAAGAATGGGATGACGGCGAGGACTTTGCGACCACGAAGAGAAGGGGACGTTGACGCTGGCCCTGCGGGGGCGGCTCGCCTGGCCGGCGCTTGAGCAGATGCTCAGCCTCGTAGGCCGTGATGCGAGACACGGTGGTGAAGGCGTGGGCGCAGTACGACGCCGCGCGCTCGATGCAGTAGCGGTGGTAGATTCGACGCTCGCCAGCCTCCTTGTCGGGGTCGAACTGTGTTGACAGACGCAATCATTCTTCACCAAGGCAATGGCACGTACACGCATGGCCATTTTGTCAATCCACCGCTGGATGAGGGCTTCCCGCGCACACCATGTCGGTTATGGGGGGGGGGGGGGGGGGTTGCTATTCGACCATAAAATGTATAGTTATAAACTTTAATCGAGTGAGTATATTGATAATATGGGGATATATCAATGGTGAGTATTTTTTTATATACTTGCTAGCCGTTGTGTTAATTTCGTTCTACATATTGGGAGGCATTGAGAGAGAAGGGAAGGAGCGAGGCTTGGAGGAGTGCTGGATCTTCCGGGCCGAGTCGTGACCCAGCGTCAGTGAATAATAAACGAGCAGCAACGCGGCTGATCACCACCCCCTGGAGGGCTCCTTGTGGGAAGTGGGTGGGGGCCTGGGAGAGTCGGGGGGGCTCGTGCTGCGGTACGAACCCAAGGGCACCCCCAGTTCGAATCCCACTCATGGCCAAGACCAGGCGACAATTATTTGAACTGGTGCTGGGTTACTCCTAGGTCGACTTGGCCTCCAGTGGTGTAAACATCACCAGTGGGGACACAAAGGCGGCCCCCGGGCGTAGTGTTGACCACCTGCTCCCTCCGTGTGCTTTTTGCAACCTTCCTAGGTGCTCGCTAACAGCACTTGCCCCAACAGGCTATGCGGAGGATCATTTGTCTTTGTCCTGCGACATGGGAGGGACATTACGGCTGAAGCGAGGACACGGGCATACCAGCGAACTCGTGACAATATGATTAGACGAGAGCCGCCTTGTTTAACTGGATGAGAAATGCATGGGTGTTATTGAATTTGTCATTCGATAGAGTACCAACAGATTACTATTTGGTTCTATCAAACAGCTTATTTCTCTCTATAAAATTTACCAGGCTCTCACAGGTCTATTCGATCTTTCTCTCCCTTGGTCGCTTCGGGGTCGATTTCCACACAACTCTCTCTAAAATGTACCAGTCTTGTTGGGTCTTTCAGTAACATGCTAATTTCTCTGCTCCAGCAGACCCACCTCTCTCTCTTTATTTAAGGCCTCGACACAGAGGCATTGTGTCTCTCTCTGCTTGTGTGTCTGTCTGTGTGTCTCCGTGTCTGTGTTTTGTCTCTCTCTCAAATTTAGTTCTACCTGATGACGATTGCTTGTGTTGCAATCGAAACGTCGTATTCTATTATTTAATTTATTTTCTTTCTACGTGACTTTACCAAAAGAACCAAAGAGTAATTCCTGCAGTCACGAAAGCTTCAAATCAAGTTTGTACCAACAGATGACTCAATTGGCATTACACATAGTAGTATCACTCCCTACTGAGAAAAACAAAACTTGGCAAGACCCTCCTTGACAAGCGAGTCACGAAATCCTGCAAGGCTTTCCTGGATAAACAAGCGTCATCGTGCCTTCCATTACCTTGTAACCTTTCCTAATGTATTCTGAAATTTGGATGCGTGTAGAACTTCTTTCGCACCGTACATAGCTAACCGTGCTAATCAGAGGTGCGGGGGAAGGACAAACTAAACACGAAAAGCAGTTATATTGCAAGAAGTTTTCAATCTAGATTTAACAGTGCATACCTCAAGCGGCTTCTTAATATCACAAGGAAGAGCATTCCAGATGGCCGCAAAAGCGCATCTGAAAGCACGCGATGTGGCGGGCGTCTTTGTTCGATAGCTAGCCAAAAGCCGCTGCGAGGATGACTGGAGTTTGCTTGATGGTTTATGCTCCTTGACGAGATCGGCAAGGTAATGTCGTTCATTTGTGGCAAGGACTTTGTGTGTAATGAGCACGACCTTGTAAAAATGTGTCAGTCAACGGTGCGCGCAGGACAGCCAGCAGCATCCTCTTTGCACGTCTCATGACAGGGTTAACGGGAAACGTGTCATCATTAGACACATGACGGTGGTGAGGTTTTGGCAATGTCATTCAGCGCGAGCCCTTCCTGCCACGGGCTGCACGTTGCACTTCCGTCTGCACGTCCTTAGAGCGTCTCAAATGAACGAGTCAACGAGTAATGACACGGCAGCGTTCCCGTACTCCCCGTCCCACCTCGCACACAAACGAAGAATAAAGGTCAAATCACTGGCACTTCTAAACGTACAAAAACACAACTATACTGTTACTGTTCAGCTTTGCAAAGTAACAAAACTCAAGACTGGTGCAAGGTTTCTGATGGCCGAATTATTTTTATTTTAGTGTCTCAATCCACGTCTTTTAATAGTGTATTTCTGGATTGTATCACCATCTCTTGTAACCTGCTGACCCACACCTACCATATATCTGTGAAAAAGAGCTTCATAGCTCATCGGATTCCACAAGAATAGAGATTCTGATCCTAACTGTGATCGGTCATGCCATAGGGTCATCAAACAATTCCGTAATTTGATGTTAAAGTGTGGACCCGATGGTAATATAATTAACTACTGCCGGAGTTGTCTTTTCTATTCCACAGGTATTTCTCATTCAAGAGATGACACTGTCTGATCGAAAATAAAGAATGTTTAATTGCAAGCCGCTTGTTAGATTGCCTACCAAACTTTCAGGGGGATTTCACAAAAAAAACATTTTTTTCCACCTTTGTCAATCCACTGCCAAATGAAGGCCTCACCACACACTGTCGGTCAGAGGAGTTGTTCGACCATACTTGGTTGGTGAAGGGGAGCCTAGGATCGGTTCAGATATTACCAACTACTTCTGACATTTCACCTCAGGTCGTCTGGTGCATAGCGCGATGCATAAACCGAAGCATTACCTGTCCGCACCCAGATCAGGGTTAAGGTGCATTCATTTGAAAACCAAACAATTACTGATGACATGGATACCGGAAACTTGCTATGTTTGAGGACATGCCATGCACAAATTCATCGATTCAAATCCGACTTTCACTCAAGGTACATCTGATCATGTAAATTACTTTCAATATTCGCAAATTTGATGCTGATGTTATGGTTAGGCTAAATAAGCAATGCAGTACAAGACAGAACAACAAACACCACAAAACAAGACTGCTAAAATTGTATAAAGTAATGAATGATCTTGAATTAAACCACGACCAAAAATGTATGATTCACGAAATTGTATTGGGCGAATTGTTACACGCCGACTGTTTAGATCGAGTGAATTCCTAGAATCTGGGGAGTGGTTTCCAAATTCTCTGACAGAGGTTTCACCTTCTACTCACCCTCTAAATGCCCAGCGCAATTACCGCCATCTGTCGCCAGTACAGACGCAAGCGCACACTCTTGTGTGCTAGCGTGGGCGTAATTGCCATGTTAAAACAAGGAAGCTGGGCATCATGGGACGGTGCGTTGCTGACGATCAAGCCAACAGTCGCCGACGAGTCCACTTCAGCCTGCGGATTTCTGCGTGATGAGCAGCAGTTACCGCATGGCCAATATTCATCGGGAGGACCAAGACGAATCCACTAGAAGCCTTTCCCAGCCCTTCGCCAACTTTGTTTTTCAAAGTTGGATTTGTTTGAATCAGTGCGAGGACAACGATACTGTACTTGCCAAAAAGATGTGTTTTAGTGGTACAATAGTTCCAAATAATACACATAAGTGAGAAATATAATTGATAAAAAGGTTATCCAAGTTGTATGGCACATCTATGCTCCTCGACATTACCAACCTACACTGACCAGCATGGTGAAGTATGGTCAAACAAACCCCACGACCTGCACCGGCAGGAGGGAGGCCCTCAAGAAGCCGTGGGCAGACAACGGCTGTGTACGTTCATGATTATAATGGGACGCTGCGGTGATCATGGGGTAGCGCACACTTCAGGTCGTCACCAATTCGATCTCCTGGCATGGCATTTGAAACAATTGCCAAGTTTCTTGTTGGCCATCAACAACAAGGCAACTCCTATGACTAATTGGGAATGGGACGCAAGCGTAGGATTGATCACCCTATCGCTGGCCGCCTTTGGGGAGGGTGTATAGTATGAAAGGCCGAAACACCCTAGGAACCAAAGGGTCACTACTGACGATGCGCTCCCCAAATTTCACCAGGCTCACTGTTCATGAACTCTTGGAAGTGCTTGCACGAAGGATAGTAACATCTCATCCTGTGTTCTTTGGAATCTGAATTAGATCCCACCCCATCCACCCAGCAGTAAATGTTGATACACAGTCAATCGGCAGGTCGCGTGTATGGTGCGGTGAATTGTGGGTACCTCCCACCTGTTTGTGTAAACATGGCCAAATCTTATTTTATCAATTCCCTCTTTTAGTGTAGGCCCTTCTGCCATCAGCAGCTTGAACAAGGCATTCCAGGGCTGCACCTTTACATTTTATGTTTACTTTTATTATACCTGCACGAACCACAGAGCATTCCTCTAATGTGCCACATTACAGACAAAAACGCGACAACGTTCATCTCCGATTAGTACGGTTGGCTACATACGGTGCAAAATAAGTTCAACATTCGCCAATCGAAAAAGTAAATAATAAATAAATAGGTGGTCTCTTTTGGGCAGAGGTCCTTCTTTCCAGGACAGAGAGGGCAGAGAGGTAGCCTCCCTATGTGCCATGAAGAAGAGCCATTGCCCGAACCATCACTCACGATTAATATTGTTTCTTTTTAAAAAAGCAGTGTTATTGACGAATGTGTCGAGTTTTTGTTACTTGTGCACCGCTGCCAACGCAGCAGCAGCAGCATCAAACTATTTGGTCACATTGCAGGCGGTCGCCACCGCGACTGGCTACAGCCGTGCGGAGTGCCGCCGTCCCCCACCGTAGCGTTGCCGCCCGCGTGCACTCACGTGCTGCATGTTGTTGTAGAAGTCGGTGTTGCCGGCACACAGATAGCGCCCGAGCAGCGTGGCGTGCGTCGTGAACACCGTGGCCACGGGCAGCTGTCGTAGGCGGCACAACAGCAGCCCCACGCCCGACAGCCACTCGTGGAAGTGAGCCACGATCGGCAGGTGCTCCTCGCTCTGCGCTGCAAACTGACGCACGCGCGCAGACAGAGACGCGCGAGGTCATCAGACCGACGAGCGTTACTCGCCGATGGCGACGACACGCCGTATCAAGCATCGTCATTTCGAAGCGCTGACAAGGTGCAGCGAAACGACTTTCATCCGCAGCCATAATGTCTGCTGCTCCTGGTGTGCGTGCCCCCACCCCAGTCGAATTTTGGCCGCTGCCGTTTCTCACGAGCGGATGAGGAGAGTTTCTCTGTACCCAGCCGGGTGGTGCTGTTTGGCAGAGCTCTCAATATACAAATCACAAGGTTTTTCTTCCAGTATCAATGTATGAAAACTATGAATAGGGTTTACCCTTTCCTGGCAATAAAACAGGTGTTAAGATGTTCAAACACCAAATGGAAACCTTTTGCAGGGAATCAAGTCACTGCATTAACCACACGTACTTGTGGTGAACATGCACACAAACATGCTCTGATGATAATATATATGCTATTGTCTTTGAAACTAATTGGCCTACACCAAAAACAGCATTCTTTATGGCCTAGTCTCACCATATATATTAGCAGCGCATGTTTTGTGTGCATGTTCACCACAAGTACGTGTGGTTAATGCCTACTTGATTCCTTGCAAAGGCTTCTATTTGGTGTTTTAACATCTTAACACCTCCTGTTTTATTACCAGAAAAAGTAAACCCTATTCTTATTTTATATTAAAAATGTTTGCAGGTCAAAACGAAAGTCAGGGGTAAATAGTAAAATAGACCGATCATCTCTCCACGGTCAATAAAATTCGTACCACGTTGTGAAAAACCAGCAGCGTGGAAAAGTTGTGGCAAGAGGTGGAGTATACGCCACATGGAATGTCCATCACTGACTTCCAGTTTAGACGAGTACCAACCAATGCTGATTAAAGTGTGGAACTTAATTTGACTTGCAATTCATTTTGGCAGGTATACTTTCCAATGGACTAAGATAAACCATGATATGAATAAAACATTTATTTCAGCAATTCATTAATGATTTGGCAGAGCTTCAATGTACTGGATTGCCCTTTCCCACCTCCTCCGATTAATATTATTTTTAAACATGTTCCCTTTTGGCAACCTGTGGATAATACTGTACTATAGTAGAGTACAGTATTGTTTGCAACATGTATATAATGAATAGACAGAAAGTCAAAACCCGTCCAGAGCTGGCCTGCTTAAACAGATGCTGCTGGAAAACACTGCTCTGGAAGGCCCAAAAGTAAATGGAACAAAAACATCAACTTGCTTTTATGTGGAGAAAGGGATTTCCTGTCTATTCGTTTTCTACATTTGAATAAGCCTTTTTGTGAATCTACTGCTGGATGAAGGCCTCGCTACGCATTTCATCATGATCCCCGTGTCCCTTCCCATGTCTCTAACGGGTTCTCTCTGTGTGTCCCCGTGTCTCTCTCCGTGTGTCCCCGTGTCTCTCTCCGTGTGTCCACATCTCTCTCCATCTCCCCGACGGCTGCTCTGTGCTTCCAATGTTCAGGGGCCTGCTTAAGGCGCAGCTCCGGCTGGAGCACACATACCACACACATCTCGGTGATGTGCAGGTCTTCTTCGAAAGCTGGGGGGGGGGGGGGGGGGAGCCAGAAAAGCCCTCTGTACCAGCGTGGACGGCACCCTCATGTTCACCTTCTGAAGCGCTCGCTCATCACCGTGGCGTGCGCGATGAACACCACCACGTGACTTTTCTTTCGTGATGTGCGTGGTGCATTAGCGCCATAGCGCGTGGATTTATAGCGTGTTTCATTTGTTTGCTGGTGACTGTGTATTTCATATTGGAATCGCCTTCAGTGCTGTTGCTGCTGGCGGTAATAAAAGTTGTACTGGTAGGAACCTCCTGGTTACACCACCTTACAGGGGATTATTGTGTCCGTCCGTCGTGCAGGGAGGGGCTGGGTGGGGAGGGGCTGGGTGGGGAGGTGGGGCTGGGAGGGGAGGGGCTGGTCAACCCGTGGTGCCCTTATAAAACTCAACGTTTAACCTACTCACGCAGGCTTGTGCCCGCCCTCAGTCGGGCATATTTGCGGAATACACCACGCCGCCGTTGACCCTGGCCATTGACCGAGCAACCCAACGTTCCTATGAGCTCCCTCCGCTAGGAATGTGTTAAAAGTCTCCGTCTCCCCCCACGGGTCTCTCCCCCCCCCACCCCCGTGCGTATCTCTCTCCCGTTGTGTCCCCAGGGGGTCGGGCCATGTCCGGCTCGACTATCACTCGCCATTCACGTCAACTGCGAAACAGGGATCGAGCTCGGATCTCCATACCACTGCAAACTACTCGCCCCACTATTCATAATATACGTGAAAAAAAAATTATAATCTCACACGTCCCAAAATAGCACTGCAAGTCTGGAGTCCCCTGCGGCTACTCGCAAAAATTAACAGCGGCAGGAAATATTTCTCGTCCCCTTGCGAGTTCTCGGCAGATGGCCCCATCGACGGGTCAACTGCCGGCTCCAAATGTGACGCCAATACAAGACGACTAATCACGTGCCGATTAGGGGAGGACGAGGCATCTTTCTGCCCACCCTGAAGCGGCGAGCACAGCAGAATCCTTATTGTGCATGTACAGCCCTCATGTCAAACCCATGCTGGATGAGGGCATCCCCCTACACTGCACGGGTTCACAGCGGTCATTTGACCATAACTTCGTCATGCTGGTCAGGCAGGGAGCATAGATGTTTAAGCATAGTACAGGACAACAATGGATTTTGTGGCACTGCCCACTGCTCACAACATAGCGCAATGGGAGCTTACAACAAAACGTATACGTTGCGGATGCCCCCATTCAAGCACCATCCTTGCTCAGCCCTGTTAAGATCGAGGGACATTCTGGGTGATGTGGTCGTAGGTTACTGAATTATTACACCAGTTAAATGAGCAGCGTGGTCACCCACACGTGTAATTACTCATTCATTGTACAGTCTTATTACAGGAAATTCACGGCTCATTACTACTGCTGTAACAACGAGTGGTAATTAATGTTTCCACCAGGGCCAAATGATTTATGTAGCCCGACCTACGTTTAAAGCTGTATTTATTCAATTGTAATCATTATGTCATTATTCGGGTTTTCAGATAGTGCCATTTTCAATGTATTTCAATGTTTCGTTTTCAGGTACCATTCTATGGTATTCCAGTGCCATTTATTTCACATGCTTGAACATTACAACAAAAATGTAAACCATGTCAATCCAATCAGCTGCTGCCAGTGCATACAAGTTTAACGTACATTTAGTATAACCAGTTGAGAACTCAAGTGACGGGAGGCATGTCTGCTAGGAGGGGGCGATTATTGCTGCGCATAGTCTAAAAAGAGTAATTTGCGGCTAATTGTAGGTTTTGGTAAATTTGGACCCTTATGCTTGTACACAATGGCCTACTCTTTAGGTGATCTGTAATGTCCAATGTAAAGCAGACGGCACGTGGTATTCTTATGGTTATTGCACCCACATAGAAACAGGGCGGCCACTGGATTTGTCCGATGAACTTCAGGAACACTACTTGTTATATATGTTATGTATATGTAAATGTTATGTATATCGTTTATTGTTAAATTTGAATCACCGTTCCTATGATCACTGTTACATTGTTTTTATAGCTTTATTTTGGTGATTTTGAAAACGTTTTGGTTTAGCCATGTTTGTTTGTTGTAGTACAGAGTTAGCCTGATAACTTTATTCTACATTGTCTTATGGTTGTTATTGTTTGACTTGCATCCCACTGGGATTTTTGTACACAGCGTTGAAATACGGTATTTTTTCTGGAAGACTTTGCCGGTTTTTCCTGGATTTTTCTGTTGCGTGGAGTCACTTTAAGATGTTTCTTGTTCATATTTTGTTTTGTTGCGGTTGCACCCGAGTTAAGAGCCGCATGGCTCACAGGGTTATACCTCAAATGAAATTAAACTGAAACTACTGGGCCAAGTCGTCACCACCACTACTCACTCCTGCTAGGCCATACACCCTGCGACAGTGTGTGACATAACTTGCCCATACCATACGCAACTTTCAGCTGCATAATCATGAACCAGAAACATAACCAGACCACGATTCAGGTTGCATGTTGTGACATCTGCTCAAGGTCCAAAACATTTCGCTTTTGGCTCATGCTACCCTTCAATTGCAGATCAACGTTTCCATGTTGGTAATCTCACAGGTCCTGTACATTCACTGGCCACCTTGCAGCCCAGGAAAATGGGAATCTCACACAGACGATGATATTTGTATAATCCACTAACTGCTGCATCCAAAGTTATCGATTACAAGGCATGCACCACTACCACTATCAACACTTCTACAAAATTACTATTGGCTTTATTTTACCACATACCTTTTGCCGTGTCCGAATAGGTCATTAAATTTGTATCTGCATCTATCTACCTATGCCCATTGTGCCACTCCCATGAGGTGCATAATAATTCACCTCACAGAAGTTCTAAGAATTTATACAATTTGGGGATACAATTCAAGAAACATCTGTTGTTAATTTGTATGGCCCTGTATTGTAAAATGTATTATTTGTTCTGTCTTGTTTGTTCTGAAGTCAAAGGTATATTATAACTTGCAGAAACAGTAGAAAATCACTTCTTAGACACATGGTTCAATGCATGTGTAATGCGTTCAATCAGGGCAGACACTATAACTTGGAGGCAACACGTTTTATTAACCAACACCACATAACGCTTAACGGAATAACACCACAAGGTGGTAACCCACCATTCCCACACTTATCTATGTACACTGGAGATTGGCTCTTTACATTCTGGATGGGGAAACTACAAATTGGACCCAGGTCAGCCAACATGCTGCCTGGTCCACGTGCGCGATGCCCGGAGACCCGCCGACGACGAAGGTTTCTTCCCAGCCAGGACGAACCCCAGTCACCCCGGGGCTCAGCTTACGGCGTGGCCAGGCCCCGCCCTTGGCCACGCCTCTTTTCTCGATCCTTCTTGAGGGTTCAAGACCCACCTCACGTGTTCCTCAACCCTGGTCCCCCCCCCCGTCCACACCACATCCGGTCATGTGCCCCTTCCCGTTTACCCAGCCTCCCCTGGTATGCCCTTCCACTGTTAGGGAGAGGCTCCGCCCCTACAGTACCACCCACGCGGTACGGTCTCTACACAGTGGTACCCACATCAACGACACTACACATGTACAGTATGATAGGCATTATAGATTTCCAATCAATGGCTTGTTACATGCTTACTTTTTTTTTCTCTCCACCTGAAGAAGACCGCTTGTGTTGCGATCGAAACGTCATGGGTTTTTTGCTTTGAATTTGTTTTGTTTTCTATCTACGTGACTTTACCGAAATAACCAAGGATATGAATTCCTGCAGTCACTAAAGTTTTAAGTCTAAATTTAACCGCCTCTACGGGAAGAGTTTCCACATAACCATAAGATCTTTTAACACACTCCGAGACAAGAAAGCTCATCTGATCGAGTCACTCACATTTCTGAATAGATGCCGTGACTCTAAGGTAATACCGACTTCATTCACACCACTGACCTATGTTGCTGTCACATCTTCCAATGCCAAACGAATTTTGTTTAGAGCTAGCTTGGTCCTGATCTGAGAGAATTAGACTGCTCCACACTGAACTGGATCATGCAGACAAGACTCTTGAATTTACACTTAACATTGACACAAAAAATGTCTACATCTGATTGGGAACATGTAGATAACATGATCGCTTCATCGGCCGCTACAATGTGAGCTAAATGTAAAGATAATCTGATTTACAAATTCAACCTCCTTTCCAAGAAGAAACCAGATCCACATGTTAAAAAGTTAGACCTTGACAAGATCGTTATCAATCTGAGTAATAGCCCAATCTCTGATGGTCTGAAATTGGTTTTGGCTAAAGGATGGAACTTTGCAGTCACCCCCAAACACATACCAGTTGATGGCATTATTGCTCAGGTCGATGTCGCCCTTAAGGGTTTGGGACACATCGCTGCAGATGTGACAAGATCTGAAATCACTGCAACCCTCAAAAGCACTAAGATACCAGTCAGCAACATCAGTGAGGAGGAGCGCTTTGAGTTATTTCAATAAAAGAGGGAAGATATCGTCATCCTCTCAGCCGACAAGGGTAATGCCACAGTCATCATGGACAAAAACGTGTACAATAACAAAATTCAGGACCTACTTAATGATGGTAGCTACACAAAGATTAAAAGAGATCCTACCAACTGCCTCGTTACAAAAACGAACAGTATCATCACTGATTCAGCTTCATTAATTTAACAGACCAAAAGGTTTTCCCTCAAACCTTCTGCTGCTAGACCACCCAGACTATATGGACTTACCAAAAATCCATAAAGAAGGTACACCCCTTCGTCCCATCGTCTCCACCATTTGCTGACCCCACCTACAAACTGGCCTGATATCTGAGACCTTGCAACCTTTCACTGGTAAGACCACCTCTTCTGTTCTTAACTCGGCTCACCTGGCAGCGTCAATTAAAGACATCTTACTGTCTGCAGGTGATTTGCTCGTTACTTTTGATGTATTTATCTGTTCACCAAGGTTCCTGTGCCCGATACCATTGCAATAATTGAAGATTTGGTCCAACAAGGACTGAATGCTGATGTATCAGCCCTGGTGAGACACTGCCTCACCAATACATACTGCACTTGGAATGAAACATTCTACAAACAAACTGAGGGCACTCCAATGAGTTCTCCCTTATCTCCGGTTGTGGCTAACATTTTCATGGAAAAATTTGAGACAGACGCCATCCAGGCATCCACTCTACGTCCATCCTTGTGGAAGAGGTATGTGGATGACATGTTTGTCATTTGGACACATGGCCGACCGGCTCTGAAACAATTACTCAACCGCATCAATTCCATTCACCCAGCAATCAAATTCACCATGGAGGTAGGAAAGGATGGCATGCTACCCTTCTTGGATATTGTAATCAAAAGGAGACCAGGTGGCTCAATGAGCCACTCTGTCTACAAGAAAGTAACCCATACTGACGCCTACCTAAAACCTGATTCCCAACACCATCCATCCCAGAAGAATTCCCTCATCAAAACGCTACACCATAGAGCTCAATGTATCTCCGACTATGAACACCTGATCAGTGAACTCAAACACCGGGCTCTCAAGGCGAATGGATACCCTGATTATACAATCCGCAAAGCCATCAACCCAACCGTGAGGAAGGAGCCATCTTGAAGATCCAATCATAACCGTCACCTTAACTTACATGGAAGGGATAACCATAAATATTTTTAAAAAATCTTGATCAAACACAAGATCCAGGTCCGATTTAACACAGGACAAGATCCCCGACATGCAATATCCCGGCGTCTACAAACCAAGCTGTACCTGCGGCAGCAGTTACATTGGGTAAACTAAGCGACATGTCTCGGACCGTGTTCGTGAACACAAGGCAGATCTGAAACACGGCAGGACCAATACTTCTGCCGTAGCTGACCATTACTTTAATGCGGCTGGCTCAGTGAAATTGATTTCTCTAAAACGATGGTACTTTGCAAACCGACTGGCTATCAACAGGGATTCGTTCAGGAAGCCATCCATATATACAGACAAACACAATTTCAACCGAGACGATGGTTATAAACTCAGCAATCATTGGAAAGATGTCATCAACCACTTTGGGTCATGATTTGAATTTGTGTTTCCTTGTCAACCTCTACCGTCAGCAGTGTGGATGGGCATAGCGAAGTGCAATTCTCCCCCCTCCCATCTCTACCCCTCCCCCCTATCTCTGCTCTCCTGCCCCCCCCCCCATCTCTGCCCCACCCCCTCTCTCCCCCACCCCCCGTCTCTCTCGCAGCTCTTATATCCCCATTTCTTCCCCCCCCCCCATTGTCTGCTCGCGCAGCCCTTTACCCTGCCCACTCACTCTGGAGCCCTTATCAGCAGCTGCATTTGGAAGCTTGCTCCCTCTTTACTCTCCACCTGAAGAAGACCGCTTGTGTTGCGATCGAAACGTCGTGGGCTTTTTGCTTTTAATTTAGATTTTTGTTTTATTGCTACGTGACTTTACCGAAAGAACCAAGAATATCTTTATACCAATTTATGTATGCCTTAATTTCAGCCAGAGCTGGCTGGGGCTGGAATCTGGAAACGCTTGACGGTAGACGAATCATTGTCGGGGAAAGAGTGGGGGGAGGGGGGAACAGTTTACAGGGGGGCGGTGGGTGACCGGGGCAAGCATAAAATAGACCACAGGGCCTAGGCACCTACCTCTTTGAGAAACGCCTCTGTGAGGAAACCAAAGAGGACGGCTTCTGTGGTCTCCCGGTCATCGCACGGCACGCCGATGTTCGACGCCTCCCACAGCTCGCCCTTCCACTGATCCAGGTGGTGCCGGGCACTCTCGATGTCGAACAGCACCACAGAGGGGCCCCCTTCCGTCAGCCAGCGGCCAAAGTACACCTGGCACCACACGATGAAATATCCACAACCGGGCCCTCTCGTCACCACAAAGCAAATCATGAGTACTGTCTCGTATTCGCTCCATTCCTATTAGCAATAGGTTAACCTGGATGGTGCTATGACGCACAAATTAGCTTAGTCTGCAGTACTTTTGCAGTGGGGGGGGGGGGGTGCGGCAATGCTGCCACGTGGCTTAACCTCATTCGAGAAATGTTCAAATTTTTACCGTGACGCCGATGCACGTGATTAATGTCCAATGAGAAGCAGTCGGCATGCATTTTTGTTCAATACACCGAGTATAAAAATGGAGGTGACTATTGGGCTCACACCGAGAGCCACCACCAGAAGCAGCAAACGCTTTACTGCTCGGCCGCGTCGCTACAAACCAAGCACGGATGCCGTGAAATTTTAATTATTTTGGAAAACTTCACAAGTAGAAAAATGTTCGTTTCAAATCGAACAATTCATGCGAATAGTTTGGACTGCTGGGATCATCGACCAGGCTGCCTTCACCCACCGTATTCCGCTGAAAAACGCCGACTGGAGCGAGACCACAGTGTCACCGCCTACAACTGGACCATGAACTGCTTAACGATCATAAATCAGGAAGCAGTATTTGTAATTCTTTCAGGTCTCCATTGGAAAAAGATGCCTTCATCTTCGTGTTTTGGGAATGGCTGGTAATTGGCTTTATTTATTTTACCTGTGTGTGCAGAAATGCATTATCAGCTGATAACTCCACTTTTCTTGGCCAAACGCGTGCATTGGAATACACCCTGCTGATCTCAACAGAAAGAGCATATGGTAGTAGAGAGCCTGTTTGTGTGACCCTAATTCACCGGACACCATCATCGTCATCATGCCACGAGTGGCCACCGTCTCATCTCTCCCCTACTGACTTCATGCACCACAACTCAACAGCAGCTCGTGGAATTTAGCTGCCAGATTAGGAAATAACTGGATGGTCCACTCCTAACGCCACTAATAGAAGCAAGCTGTTTCAACTCCTCCAAATTGGACAAAACAAGAAACAGTTATGTTGTGTAGAGCACCAGTTGTCCGTGTGTCGCTGTGACATAGCATCCATAAGAGCTTTTTTTGGGTTAGATCGCGTAAATATACACGTGTCCTTATACCCGCCACCACCCGACAGCCAATTAGTAAGGTTTGTCACGTAAACAGAACATGCCAATTCGTTACTAGTACAGCACACCGGTGTGTTGGAGAGTAAACCCACAACATTTACAATTTGAGTACGACGTTCAGCCAGCAATTACAATCAGCCCCATCAGGCGACAGCCAGAGTTGTGTAGAAATCCCCCTGTTTCGGTCTTAAAGTTACATAGCAGTTTGGCTTAATTCACACTGGGCAAAGAGCATTTGTCCGAATCTACACACTGCCACGCGTTGTTTCTCTTTCTTCTAAATGCCAAGGTGAAAGAATGCGTAATGGCTAATAAAGCGCACTTCAGTAAGTTCCAACTGAGTGAGCGAGCCATGCTCTGCCCCCAGGGTTAAAATTCTTTTCACTTAATATGATCCGCGTATTCAGGGTCAAACGAAAGTTTTTGTTTTTTTAACTCAGCCACTAGGGTAGCATTTACAGACACGGTGGAAACAACGAATGCAATTAAAGACAATGCTGTCTGGCCACGTTTCACCCCATCGTCTGCTGGAATATGAAACAAGTTGCCGTTAAGTTACCGGGCTGCAGTGGTGGCTATGCACGCGCCTGTAATCCAGGACCATGGAGGAGGAGGCCAGGGTTGATGGATCACACAAATGTCATTGCACTCCCTTGCATATGAATGTAATTCGTTACATTAATGAATAAAAACAACCATAACAGTGAAATGCAGTGTTCTGTGCAACAATGTAATAAAACATCATGGCCTCGGGTCACCACACCTTACACCCCCTTCGAGATCAATCCAGGATACAGCTCCCAGTCAGCACCAGGTCTATAATCAAAACGGTGCCGTATACTGCAATAACGTTCAACACAACGCCGGTACCAGACCTCAAAATCAATCCCTGCCACCAGATCACAAATTCTATTTCCCAGACTGTCCGGGTCAAACCCAGACAGGTGGCCACCGTAATCATGGCGTGTTAACGCTGCAACAATCTGGGTCGGGATCCCAACAGTATCTGTAGCTCCAAGGTCGAAACAGTCAGTGGTCAAGAACTTAGCAGAGACAGAGGGCCATGTCTAAGCTCGAGTTAGGAATGGTGTCGCTTGGTTCAATTTAGCTGGTTGAATGCTTTGACCTTTTGCTATATTATGCATTTAATGCAAACATAACTGGAATTGACTGGACACAACTGGGGAGCTGAAAGGTTATTGATTAAGCAGAGCATAGATCATTGGATTCAGGTACAAGCAGAATTTGCCTGCGCAGCGTGTTGGTGGACCTTGCATCCGAGACATGGGCATTTCCCATTGCCCCATGGCACCAATGGGGGGGAGGGTAAGGGGGGCACGACCTCTGGATTGCAAGATTCCAAGTCCAGAGGTCGTCTCTAAATTCTTATAGTCAAGAAAAAAAATGTCGATTAGCATATTTTATACGAGTGCCGTTTTTTCTTAAAATGTTTTCTTGTTCAGCTCTCAACAATTGTTCAAAATGTCGTTACCATTACTTCGCCTTCATCACATCACTACGTTATGGCCGCCCACGACCCCACCACCCTCTTTATCGAAGGGTTTTGCAAAATGCTTCGCAGCCCAAACCGCCCTCCACCTGAACGCAAGGTGGTGGCCGCAGTGGCAGAGGTGGCGGTGTCGTCAGAGGCATAGCTAGGGGGGGGGGGGGGCAGGGGGGTACACATGTGTCCCCGGGCACCAAGGTAAAGGGGGCGCCAAAACGAGGCTTACAACGTTACATTATAATTTATTGCGGCGGGCGCGGCAGCATGAAACTACTGCACAAATCTACACCTCAACCTAAAAGTTTGTAAAACCCTCCACACACAGCCTACATGTCATGTAATTACATTTGGTATGTGATTAAACGGGGGGGGGGGGGGGGGGCGCCAATTTTATAGTTCGGGTGCAAAATATCCTAGCTACGCCACTGGGTGTCGTCATCCAACGGGCCCCTGTGGAGGACGCGCGAGTGTGTGGTTGCCGGCACCTTGCACCCGCGGTTGTCGAGGGCCTCCATGGCTCGGCGCACGGCAGGGTTCGTCGGCTCGCCCAGCTCCACCTCGGTGCGCACATTGTGCTCGAAGTATGGGCCGATGAGGAAATAATTGTCGCCCCACTCCACGCTCGTCTGCCTCACTTTGCTCTGGATCACCGTGTAGATGCCGCCGACTGCAATGAGGGAGGGATGGGGGTTGGGGTGGAGGGAATGTGCGACAAACATCTTGTTTTACTTTTATTAATTTCATTTAACTTTTATTTATTTTAATTTCAATTTTTTACCTACGTGACTTTACCGAAAAAACCTAAGAATATGAATCCTTGCAGTCACGAAAGCTTCAAATCTAGAAACATCTGAGAGGTGGAGCTATCGCAGAGCCTGGTCTTCAAGCCAGAGGCCTCCACGGCCACGGGGAGACAAACAAGCGCACGACATTCTAACTGCGGGAGCCCAAGTAAATACGTAAATGGAAGTGCAAATTGCAACTACAAGTAACGTAGATTATTACTGCCCATCTCTGTAATACACCTAGGTGTCTCAACACAAAAGGGGCTCTCTGTTCAGATGGGGGGGGGGGGGGGGAAATCGGGGAAATGAGGCTGTGGATCCTTTATCCAGAAGTATAACTTCTGGCTCCTAAAAATGAAATGTTGGGGGCATCCTAAAGAAGTGAGACGCCCTGACCATATGCACATGTTCACAGCCCTGGGTGTGTATACATAGATAAGATGAACAATATTTGAACATAAAATCTTAAAATATTTATCTGTAAGGTTTTCTTTTGTACAATTGATGGAAATCAAATGCGAGATTTACGAGTGAAATTCTAACGAAAGCAAAAAATTTATGGAAAATAAAAGCAGCTTTATTGGAGAAATATTTATCCCGCGGTATTAAAAGTGACGTGGTTGGGGGGGGGGGTAAATGTCTGGAGCTCTTAACGTTTTAAAGATTTTAAAAAATGCAGCAATAGCAACATTTCTATAAATCCCGTCAGATTGCCTCTTAAGTGATCAAATGCACGAGCCTCGCACAGGCACAGTATCTGTGTGTTAGGCAACCAACTTGACCTTTAAAATGTCGAGTAAGGACATTTCTGAGAATGTCCGGTGCTGATGGGCGTGTGTAGCCAACTCAAGCCATGAATGTGTGTTTTTTGTATGCGATGTGTTCTATCAGCCTTGTCATTTTTTCATGCTGGTCATAACCATGTCTGGTGCAGAACCTTTTTGGATTTTTTTTGTTGGTGTGGTTTTTCTTGTTCTTGTTGCTGTAACTCTTTTTTTTGCGTGTAACCAGGTCCCCATCGATTTGCATATTTATTTTCCAATGGGTTGTTACTTGTGCCCAAATTGAAACCTCAAGAAAAAAAATCTAATCACACAAGAGAAGGCTTTCTGTACAATGTAGGCGTCACATAAACCGGGTTTGAACTTTCCACCAGTGGTCAGCTGGCCTCAAAACATTCAAACAACATCGACTCGATTGCAATTTGGAATGGCACACTTTCCACTTGACCTCAAAATCACCCGACAATTTGTTTGTGTTACCATTCATATGCATGTGGCATTGGCGATAGATAAATAAATGAAATGCTACACATTAAAAGAAGATAAATGATCACGATTTTTTATTTGGTGATATGAAGAAAACCCATGACTGGGAGCTTAACCGACACTGGATATGTTCATGTAATATTCAATAGTTGTTCGCTAATGAAAAACACTGGAACAACCGAGACCTCAATAGTTTACCAATGCACATATTGTACATCGCAACAATAACTGAAAATTGGATACTATGTAAATGTATTACCTTCACAATACAAATACATTGGCAACTCCAAGCCAAGCATTGGCAGTGTATTTTAAAGATATGTCCCTTTCATTATTTCAAATGTGGATAGCTTAAACAAGGCAGGCATTTATGCAATGCACTGAAACCAATTATTGTCCCAGATTCGGGAATCAACATTCACCTTCTTCGCCACTTTGGCCGTGGTTGGTGAAATACTTTATTTTATTTTTCATACATTTTCTACACACAGTAACACTGTAAATGTCCCCCCCCCTCATATCCCTGCCGGGTGGAGCAGTGGTGAAGTGATTAGCGCAGTGAGCTGTGAATTCAGTGAGCAGAGTTGACCCGGGTTCAATTCCTGGGGTGCGTGAGGACAGCGTTCTCGCGGTCCAACCGATAGTTTCAACGACCTCCCAGTACGAGTCGCAAGAATCAAAGTCATTCAAATGGTCCTTCTCAGGGCCACGGCGAACCGTGCCATGGAACCAGCACTGAGGATCTGCAAGCAACCTAGACACGGATTGAATTCTTGTTAGTCAATTTCCATACGAAAGAGTAACATTCCTGGTCACGGCTAACATCAGCGACCAGTGATAAGGGAACATGCCCGAGGCATACCTTCACTAACCTCCTCTGACCAGCATGGTGAAGTATGGTAAAAAACAACTCCTAATATTGACTTGACGTGGGGAGGCCTTAATTCAGCCATGGATTGACAAAAGGCTGTACGTTCTTGCTGTGATTATTATGCCCGTGCAGCGACACAATCCACAGGTAGCGTTGAAGGAGTTGTGTGTTTTAAATGGAGCCATTGCCACTTTAGGTAGCCAACGAGGCGAAATAGTTGCAGAAAATTTGCAAGAAGCAGCGATCTATTAATCTGGTGAAACATGGTTGCCCTGCTCATCCCTTTATTCTCATTTGGGATTTTTATTTTTTCAACATCGCACGCTTGCACACCACCACACGACAGGTGAAAAGCATCGAGAGAAATTAACTTTGCACCGCGCAAAGAAGCATTTCGTGCGACAGTTGAGATGTATCTTCTTGGTTCTTTCGGTAAAGTCACGTAGAAGGGAAGTAATAAAATAATAAAAATAAAACATAATAAGATAATTCTCACGACGTTTCGGCCACAACGCAAGCAACATGAGGACGGCTGCTTGCATTGTGGCCGAAACGTCGTGAGAATTATTTTATTATGTTTTATTTTCATTATTTTATTACTTCCCTTCTACATGACTTTACCGAAAGAACCAAGAAGATGAATCCCTGCAGTCACGAAAGCTTTAAATCGAAAAAGTTGAGATGTACTTCAGCTTTGGAAGGCAAAGTGCCACACGATCGATGCCGTTGGTGCAAATATCCCCCCCCACCCCAACCCCCCAACTGCGTCGCAATCGGCAATGCTCTCCTTTTGTTCTGGGCGCAGTTTGTGGCAGCATGCCGCTTTGATTACTGGGCACGGCCACGCGCGCGGATTGTGTAGACAGACCGTGGCCAAAGCTGGGGCGAGTTAGAGACCGCACCGGGGAGAGACAGAGAGGCGGGCGCGGTGCCGTGTCGCCGGACGGACGCGCAGGTCACGACACAAACGCCGAATCTGTGCCGAGAATAAGCGCTCCATTCAACGGCCCAGGCCGGCCTATAAATAGCGCCGAGACTGGGTCACAACGCGCGCATCTTGGCAAGAGCCACGCTGTACCCCCACGCAAGCAAGCAAGTTCGGCTCTTGCATAAGCAAATTCAGCGCACAAATCTGTTCACACACCAGGCAAGCGCACGCGTGTGCATTTCAGTAATATCGGTATCGAGAGAGAGAGAATTACGTTACACCCCCTTCCCTCCCCCCGCTCGTCGGCCGTGAAAACATGTTTTTTTGTGCAAATGCACGCTGCAGGTTCGCAGACCAAACTAAACGTTTTTATTTTACCAGGTGAGGCCTGCTGGGCTGCACAGCTCTTACAAAAGGCATTCGTTTTAAAATGTGCAACTTGAACCTTTCTCTGAAAAAAAACCTACTTTAAATTATCCAGAGGTTTGTAGGTTAGATCGGGTAAATAGAAATACATATCCGTAAAACTCTACGGTTTACCCATATTCGTGCACAGGGAAATTGAGTAGTAGTACTACTAATATAAAGGGGAATTGAGTTCAGGTCTATAAGGCGTACAGCCGTTTCAATGCGGGCAAAAAAGGTTGCCTATTTGTGTTTCTCCCTTATGATGGGACTTTGTAGGATGAACGTTGAAATTTATAAGGAGACGAGTGACCAATAAGGTCTGAATTGGTCTGTAATAAGGTAGGCACTGATAAGGGTTTGGCAGGAGTGTAAATGCGTCGTTAAACCCGCCACCACCCGACACAGCCAAGTAGTAAGGTTCGTCACATGATCAGAACAAAACATTCCAATCAATGCGTTACTAGTTCAGCTCACCGGTATATTGGAGAGGAAACCGACAACATGAAACAAATTATAGGTTTTACCCTTTCTGGCAAAAAAACAGGTGTTTCCTTATTCAAACACCAACTAGAAACGTTTTGCAAAGAATAAAGTCTGCATTAACCACACGCACCAGTGGTGAGAACATGCTCTGATATATGGATAATCTTTGAAACCGATTGGCCTACACCAGAGACCGCCTTCTTTAGGGCCTGGTCTCATCAGTGTCAGAACAGATGATGTCAAAAGGCGAACAGCACAAAGACAATGCCACTATCAGAGCATTCATAGTTTGCGGTGAGCAGCTACAAAATGGGGCCCTTTTGCCAGTTTTGAAACCCACAACATTAACAACGACGTTTCGCCGGTAATTACAATTAGCCTTGTCAAGCAACAACCTGAGTCACAACTCATCAGGAGACAGTTGGGAATGCAACTCAAGATATCCGGGCACATAGACGAGTGTGCTATCCGCACCACCACCACCACTCAGGCATTCACAGTCATGGGGCATTTAGAAACCACTCTCACTCTCCAGAAGAGTTCAACCTCCATTCTCACACAAAGCATCTCGGTCGCGTGCTCCAAACGAATTTCACAACACCCTTCAAATATATGCCTGCTCTTTGGATAAATATGGAGATATATACAGCACCGTGTTCGTGAATGGGCACTAATGACTGCAGCCATTTGTCATAAGGATTCAACCCCCACTCTTAAACAAGTGTAGTAGTATTGCTTGTCAACCTTTCCATTGTGTAAGGAATTCGTCTCACCCGCATGCAGCTGGAATAAATATCTTATTGACATAAAAGGGTTGCCAATTTACAATACCAACAGCGGGCAATACGGCTATGCTATGCCAGACCGTCAAACAGTTTCCAGAACTTTCTACGGTGCGACAAGGCGAGTTGAAACAAATACGCGACTGGGGCTGAACAAAAAAAAATAAAGTCTACATTAATCTTCTCCGAATAACATAGAGATCAGAATTGCAATCAAGATACATCTACCAGCAAAGATAAAGTTACCCTGGTTCCGACTGCAGCAGAGCAGTTGCTGCCCCGAACACGAACCAGGGCGTTGCTGCTGGCTTGAATCTTACCGATTCTAGATTTGAAGCTTTCGTGACTGCAAGGATTCATATTCTTAGGTTTTTTCGGTAAAGTCACGTAGGTAAAAAATTAAAATTAGTAAAATAAAAATAAAAATCACGACGTTTCGGAGGCAACACAAGCTTCCATCGGTTCCACCTGAGGACGGAGGCTTGTGTTGCCTCCGAAACGTCGTGATTTTTATTTTTATTTTACTTTTATTAATTTCAATTTTTTACCTACGTGACTTTACCGAAAAAACCTAAGAATATCTTACCGATTGCCTGCAACTGCTTTGATCCCCCCAGTGGTGTGGCGTGAAGATAATTGGCCCTTCCCGGTTCCAATTCCTCCCTTCTTCGTAGCCCGGTGCCTCGGTCCCTCCAGTCTCCCGTGGGACGTGAATGCAATTGCACCGTCTTGGTAGCTACGGCACCGTATCGGTATAGCCCACAAGTCCACCACGTGGCGTTGGGTTGGTTTGGGTCGGCGGACAGAAACAAAGCCTCGTGAATTCTTGCGCCGCGCCGCAAGCCCTCTCGTCATGAGGGCGACTCGCCGTGCGGGTGTCATCACGTGGCACGCGCGCAGCAGGTACCTTTGTTCGCGACTTCCCACGCGACTTCAAAGAGCACGGCGCCTTCGTGAGGTCTCTGCTCCAGACTCCACTCGCCCACCGACGTCACCGAGATGGAGCGAGACAATGGCATGGTGTGCGCAATGAGTCCCCCTTGGATGCGGAATAAAATTCTAATAACGATTATGTATTCGAAGAAAAGCTGAAACCGCAACAACTTACAAGAGCGGCAACATTGACTTCGAGCAGCAGCGCCGAAGTTGCTCTCAACCGGCTGAGCAAAACTAAAAAAAAAGACTCGTAAAATAATAAATATATCACAACTTTCCTGCGACCCGAAAATGCACGCGAGCGCGTGGAGTTGACGTGGTCTGAGAGCCGAGTGGCTGCGGTGCATCGCATCGGGCTCAGGGGCGGTGTGTTCTGCGGTTCGCAGTCTGCTTTAGCCGGCCCTGGACCAATAACCAACAGGGTGGGCCAGTGGCATAGTGGTTGGTTGGCTGGCGGTGGTGGTGGTGATGATGAAACATTGCCGCGCGCACACACACACACAAACACGAAGTCATTAATCAACTCCAGCCTTGCAATGTGCCGCCACCGACGACGATCATCGCGAGGTCGTGACTCGCCGCGCGAGTTGCGTCGTCTGGTGACGCTGCGTGCCCGTGATTCACACCTGCGCCGCGTGCGCACGTGTGCGATGACGCCCGTCGTTGGACGAACACGTGCGTGCGTGCGCGACTGCGTTATTGAGCACAATGGCATCAAAGAGAAAGATCCCCCGCGTAGCCTTACCAGACAGTTGCGGAAAGTTCTAGATTTGAAGCTTTCGTGACTGCAAGTATTCATATTCTTAGGTTTTTTCGGTATTTTATTTTTTATTTTACTTTTATAAATTTTGATTTTTTTTTTACCTACGTGACTTTACCGAAAAAACCTAAGAATATGTTGCGGAAAGTGCTGTTGGCGAGCACCTATGAAGGCCGGAATGGTACGCAACGGGGTGGCTGGCTAACAGCACGCCCGACCGCCTTTGGCTCCCCAGTGGCGATATTTACACGCCGCACCAGGTACTCATTTGAGGCTGAGTCGACCTAGTGGAGGCCCAGGACCGGTTCAGATAATCGTCACTTGGTGTTGGCCGTGAGCGGGAATCTAATCCGGGTCGCCGGGTTCTGAGCGCAGCGCGCTATCCGCTGCGCCACCGCTCCCACAAAGTAATCGGGATATAAGCATGTGCACTCTTACATATACTGCGTGTTTAAGACTCATACGAATCCATAAACAAGTGTTTTTTAACGGGTGCTTTCAAAAAAAAAATTTCACCTAAACCACATTTTAGACTTTTTTTTTACTTGTGTAAAATAATACTTTTATCTTTACAAATATCGTATGACCACCGCTCGCTCGCAGAGGTACAACGGCGCATGATGGAGAAATGAAATCAATAGTCGGGTTGGGTGTGCACAGACTTTTTAATTACCGATTCTTTTTTTTTTTAAGCCGGTCATGCATATTTTAGCTCCGCTAAGGAATAATCTGAAGGGCATTCATGTGCGAAGCCCACGCGAGTGCTATTGTGAGACTGGGTTTAATTAGCTCGCCTCGCCGTCTACACACTCAGCTGACAACGCACGCGATCGGTGACGCTGGAGTGAGCGAGTGATTTGCTTTCAAGTTGTAATGCAAACTTCCTGCGCCTTACATCTCGTCACCCTGGGCAGATGTCTTCTTCAGTGCGCGCCTCGCTCACTGCGCAATTACTAATAAACGCGACGGTGAGTTGTGTTACTTTGGGATTTGAATAAAGGGGGGGGGGTGGCGGGGGATAAAGTCACAACTTGAAATAAATACACATCAATATTCATCAGTGGCTGAACACATGGCTTCTCTCTTTAGTGTGGCGTGAAGTGGTGCGAAGTTTTGTCCAATGCGAGATGTAGGTCCCTCCGTAATGAGTGCTAGCACTAGTGTGTGGAGTGTCGCATGCCTCCTGCTGTAATAAAGAGATGGAGGGAGGAGGAGGGGGGGGATTAAATAATTACACGCAAACAAAGCGCTAACGTCTTCTGTGCAGATACTGATAAATTTGACTCCATTTCCAGCTACCCTGTTTCACCACTATCAATCACCATCATCAACGTAATTATCATTCTAGATTTGAAGTTTTCGTGACCGCAAGGATCCATACTCTTTGGTTCTTTCGGTAAAGTCACGTAGGTAAAAAATAAAATAAAAATAAGAGATAAAAAATAAATAAAAAGCTAATTAAATCACGACGTTTCGATTGCAATACAAGCAATCATCATCAGGTGAGAAAATCACAGCTAGAATGTATTTTTTTAAGTGGGAGAAATGCCGAGGCAAAAATTTCGAGCTTTGATTTTCACACCTGATGATGATTGCTTGTGTTGCAATCGAAACGTTGTGATTTAATGAACTTTTATTGATTTATTTCTATTTTTAGCTCTTATTTAAATTTTATTTTAGTAATGATAATTTCCATCAACATAAATCATCATACATAATCACCGTTATGTGAATACATGTTATTAATAATATCATTAATGAAAATAATCAATATCATTAATAATTATCAACATCATAAAACCATCATTTAATTATCATCATCAACATGGTAAATAATCATAGTAAATTATCGTAATTGTAAATTGTCATCAACATTTTAATCATCGACACTGCTGTAATGCAATAACATTGTAAACACTGCCATGTTTATAAATCACCACCACAAATCGTCACGTTAAGTCATCAATGGCATCGTCGAAAACCAATCAAAGCGCAGCAACAGCAGGATACACAGCAGTGTTCTTTATCCCTCCTGGAAAGTCTCACCGAGTCTCACGACTCTCTTTCACGAGGGTCCCGACGCACCGAGATGCATGTCCAAGCCCATCCATTTGCGTTTGGCTCCATGTGGCACAGGAGCCGAGTCAGCAGAGACACCCACGCACACGGAGAGGGGCAACACTCACAGGTCCGCACAGATTGATTCAAGAATCAAGCTCACCTCGCAGCCCGTTCTCTATCTGCTGCTGGATTATAACCGCCCTTTATTACGCGTGACGGATCAACTCGCATTCCTTACGGAGCCCACGCCGTTCTTCAAAAAGGGATCTCCACTTTTGTCACTCCACCTCTCGTTCGATCGTTACAACGCGGAACAAAACTTAAAGCTGTGCACGCGTTTACTATTCGGTGGTCTTTGCACAATTTTAAAAAAGACTGCCTGCCTCCTGCCACGTGACCGTGGAATTTCCACCACCGTTGACTCAGAACCGCCGAGGGGATTAGCTCTTCCCCGTTTCTCGTGTTGGCAACGTGACAACATTACATGTTTTCAACGCACGCATTGGGTTGATTGAATGAGCCGACGCTGTTGCGTGTTAGTAAGGCTGATCGTAATTGTACAAATGGCCGGGGTGTTTTTTTTATAGACTTTTGTCTGCGTTATTTCTGATCAAAGCAAGCTCGTGTCTTCCAAATGTATTATCAGCAGAGTAACAAGTATTTTTTTTGCCAACACGTATGTTCATCATTGTTCATATGACGCCGTCTCTGTACCAGGTGTGCCTTCAGTGTGAGACGGTGTTGGGTCATTTGTCAATCCACTGCTGGATGACGGATGGCGGTTGTTTGGCCATACTTCACCACGATGGTTGGTGAAGGGTGGGACGAAGGGAGGAGGGGGGGCGGACCCGAGGGGTGTTCCAGGAACCGGATCAGCTCGAAGTCCCCACTGATGTTATCTGTGACCGGCAATCGAATTCAGGTGCCAGGGTTTATGACGCAATGCGCAAATCACGGTGCCACAACTTCGCGTCGCATTATGAACACCACCGATATCCGCTGCGTATGCAGGCAAATTGTATCTCTTGTACTTTTAATTTACGTGTTCATTTTTCTGGCTCTTCGTGTACAATTCCAGGCACGTGTATCCCCATGCTTTCTTTGCTCATGTTTAAGCTTTTGTTCAAATTTTTTTGTCAATGTCCATGTTTGTGATCCATGTGTCACAGCAGGAACTATACTCTGAATTAAGAAAAGCACTCTTCTCTTGGCAGATTGGTCGGCTGATTTTCATTACCAAGTTGAGTTTTCCCAAATAAACTACCCCAAGCCACTGTCGTCCACCTTTATTCAATGATTTACTTTCATCAATAACTGCCATGAGTAATATACCTGCACGGTCGTGCTGGTTCTCAATTGAATTACAGGAATAAAAAAAAGCCATGGATATATGCATCTAAAAATCCATTATCAGAACTAAACTGCACTTTTCCCCGCTAAATGTGTGCCATTTCTGCAGACGATTAACCGTGAGGTTGCAGCAGAGGCACTTCGGGACGATGCATATCAATTGCCAAGTCAATTACCAATTTCTCGGGAACACGAAGCACGCGTTTAAATGTACAAAACAAACACGACCCGGCTGCTTTATGTTTAACATTTCATTTTCTCTCTCTCCATCTCTGAATCTCTCTCTGCCTCTCTGTGTGGCACAAATGGCAGGTGAATGGTGTTAATTGCCATGGGAGAGCCGCGCGTCAAATGGACAAAAGCTCAGATTCAAGGGTGCTCGAGGCTTGATCGGATGACTCGGGGGAGGTAGAGGAAACCCTGCTCGTAACCTTTCGGTGTTTTCACAAGTAATGCCCCGACTGGCCGTGTCGCAGAAGAGACGGTCGCTAATTGACGACTTAGAGCCGGATTCAGTTCTCTCCCCACCCCACACTCCGCACTCAATGTGCGGCAGCATCATTAAAGTTGTATGACTCAGGCGTGGGCCCATCTATTATATAAACACCGTCGACAGTCCGCTTTTCGTTGTTTATTCGGGCTTTGATAAATCTTTAATAACAGCCGGAGATGGTCCCGTAAAGCCCCCCCCCCCCACACACGCACGTTCTCTCTGGCTAAACGCACACAGATTAGCAAAAGCAGCACCACGCCAGCCCGGATATATAGAGGGAAGCGCGCCGGTGTCTGATCACACATCTCTGGTTTGATAGTGGGAAGCGCATATCCGGATTTGCAGATAGATTACTGGGCGGATAACGAACTATTGCTATCACGATATTACTGCATTGCGCTTTGATATTTAAATAAATAACTGTGCACCAACACTCTAAGGTTAGTGATGTTCCTTTGAGATGGGCTATATTACTATAGAGCCCACACTTTTACATTGTTTACACAAGTTGAATCGTTCTTCAACACGTCACAATGTCGTCTCTTTACACGCATTATTAAATGCATTGGCTCGCAATGTGTGCGAAAAATGTTGTCGTAGCATAGCGGTTAGCATTGCGCTACGAAAGTTGGCGACTTGAGTTCTGTTCCCGACCACAGTGGCTGACATACGAGCCAATTCCGGGCCTCCCCTAAGTCGACTCAGCCATTAAATCTGGTGCGACGTGTAAACAACAGCAGCACTGGGTGGACAATTTCGGTCAGAAATCATGCACCACGCTGGTGGGGGGGGGGGGGGGGGGTGGGGGGGTGTGCCCACTCCCTAATATCACTGACCGAGTCTATGAAAGGCTAAAGGGGGGGGGGGGGTGTGTGTCTAACGTTGACCCTGCGCCCCCACGTCTCTCACCTGTTCAGGGATGGCGCACGAGACGCTCCTCATCAAGCTCGTGCTCGTGGGTTACCTGTCCACCGGCGGAGTGGCTGCCTTTCTCCTCCTCCCCAGGCTCGCGTCACCTCAAAGGTAAATGCGGCTCCGTGCAACCTCTGCGCACCCCCATTCCTTGTGTGTTTCACGAGTCACTCCCCCCTCTGAGTTGCTACTATTACGAACTATTTTGTATATTACCAGGTAAGGGGCCACTGAGCCCTTTTGGGCTCTTTTTCAGAAGTGACCTCACCACAAATGATAGCGAAGTGGCTTATCGCGTGGAAATTTATAGCAGCCAAATACTCGCAACGCGTGTTTCTAAATGTGGAGGGGAAAACCAGAGGACCAGGAGAAAAATCCACGGGGAGAACATGCAAACTCCAAATATACAGCAGGCATCAGGGTCGGAATCAAACCCACAACCTCGTGTATACCAGGCGAGGGAGTTAACATGTCTCCAACGCCGTCCTTCTAACAAAACAAGTACCAGGGCAGGCATATTCCGCATAGATAGAACAGCAAACTACATGCTGTGCTGCCTGCAGCAGGCACCTCGCTACTGGTAGTCGTGTTCAATCAACGTCTACACTCACCGATGCCTGTAAAGGGCTACTGTTAAGGCAGAGGGTGATTTAAATACACTACTTCAAGACTATGCCTCGTTGTTGGGCAGCAGAGGGTAGTGCAAAAGCGTGCGACGTTGTATGGTCATTCTATGCTCCCACAGATTTACTAAACAATGTAGATCTACATACACTCTAAAGTGGGGTTTCCCAAACTCCACTCCTCGCCACCCACCACGTCACTCCCCATTCGAGTACATTTACTCCTTCCACGCTGCACGCGCCTGATGATTGTTAACCACGTCCCACGTGACGCACTCAGCGATTAACGCTGTCTGCATCATCTGGAACGCGTGTACACGCACACGTGGAACGCGTGTACACGCACGCCGAGATCTCAGTCTAAATTAGAATCGGCTATCTATGGGCACACCAAAGTCGCTCCACATAGCCCAGGCGGCGAAGCTCTTGTGCGCAACTGAAGTCGATGTTCACGCGTTTTTTTGCCAGTCCGCCTAGCGCCGCTATTTTACACGTGTGTACAAGTTGTCGTTGTTTTTGTTGTTGTTGCGGCGTTAAAAGTCCAACTGGGAAACGGCCCGCGCACCCCAGACAGCCAGCCAGCCAGCCAGTAAGCCAGCGAGAACAACTTTGTTCTAATGCGTATGTTCAGCGCATGCAATTGCATATACATGGCGCGCGCGTGGAAATTGATGAAAGTTGAATATCTGGGTCCTCAATTCGTGACGCTCACTCGTGAGGCCTCAATAGCTCGTGAGACGTCCGTGGTAAGAGCTGAGCGCATGCTTGTGCTGTAAAACTCCAGCTTAATGAGTGCATATTTTTTTTTATAACTTAATTACCAACCGCGTTAGGTCAGCCCACAGATGTATGAAGGCCTTCATCCCGCCGTGTCGGTCAAGGGAGGTTGTTTTTGAAGAGGAAACTGATTCAGATATCACTCGCTAGAAGATGTTAGCCGTGACCGGCAATCGAACTCTCTTGAAACCTCTTGAAGACTACCTCTAGTCTCCCCAGTTATGCGACCTCTGTTGGAGCAAAGCACCAGCAAATCGTCCAGGTAGCACAAGTTGGTTCGCCGCGAGTGTTTACCTTTAATTTGTCCCTTGCTAAAGTGTCGTGGCAGAAAGTACCATTCACTGGTAGGCAGCACGAATACTACTAATGCCATTTGCATTGCTTTATTACCCAAGCCCGCCATGTGCCGCACAGTGACGTTAAAGGCGCGGTGACCTTTCTTGCAAGAGTTAAGAATTAAGTTTCGTTTAAATACCAGAAAATGCGAAATATGCAAATTACCAGCAACTGCATTATATACACTAAATAGCCGCATCAGATGTAATTACGGCACATCAGTTCTCCCTTTCATGATTGATGATGCATTAAAGGAATGGGTCCTCACGTGGCTAGGAGATATCAAACACGCAAATCACATCAATAGGGCTGGGTGACTCATGGGACGGAGAACGGATGAGGCACTGCCGAGATAGAACTGCACCTCCAATTAGCGCGGTTGGCTACGTACCATTCGAAATAAGTTCAACATACATAGTACAATGGCTGCACACACACAAACACCGTAATATTTAATTGGATATTCACTTAATTCTGAATATTCCACATCTGAAAATATTTTTTCAAAGGCAGTGTTCATTGACTCGCGATAGTCATGGTTTGTCGCGAGCGGAGATGAATCCGCAATTGCGCAGTGGCTTTAGCAGTAATGTGGCGTCGACTTCTGGGGCCGTTCTCTGTCACAAGGTAGTGCACTGTTCGCTGCAAAAGTTCCAAGTTTAAATGTAATCGTTTCATGACACGTCGCCTATAGCGAAAATGTGAATACATCTTTTAAGGGGGGCGGCGGCGGAGGTGGTGGGAGGGGGAGTCAAATGAAAATGTTTTGAAAACAAAAAGATAAAAACGAAATCTCTCTCTGTTCACAACAGCCAGGAGTCACGGAGCTCCGAGAACGACGCAAACGCGGGGGGAGACCCAGGCTGGATCTGGGCGGACGAGGATCAGCTGCAGCAAGAGCAGCTGCAGCTCATGGAGCCAGGTGAAGCTACCTGGTCCTCCGAGAGCCAGGGCTTTCCGAAGGGCTCCGACTTCTTGGAGGAGCTGTGGTTGAGTTCTGATCCCGGTCCCAATCAGCTGGTCAGCCAGCGCGTTGATCGCTCCGTGAGCAGCGTGGCGGATCACGCCGTGATGCAGAAGCGTGGCCGCCTGCTGCAGGAGCTGGCTCGGCAGAACTGGCTCAGCGCGCTGCTGCAGGACGTGGGCTCCGTGGGGGCGCGCACCCAGCGTGCCCTCGGTTCCTCTGAGCCGCTGTCCGTGGTGCTGAATGGCGGCGGTGTTGGTGGTGGTGGTGGTGGTCTTGGTCGCGGCGTTGGTGACGGTGGTGTCGAGGAGTCGCGACGCAGGGCGACCGTGGCGGAGGATGGGCTGATCAGGCAGAAGAGCAAGTACCTAGCCGATGTTCACCGGCAGTCCTGGATCAATGCTATTGTGCGTAAGCTTTCCTCGTGAAGGGGCCTTGCCGCTACCCGCCCTTAGGCCTTGCTCTAATGGGCGTTCGACCAGATTTATTGTCACGGATTCGTACGGGAGGGGTGAGTTGAGTTTATGTGGCACATCGGTGAGATTTATAAGCTGAGGTTGAGTCTTTTTTTCTTCTTTCATTCAGAGGTTGACGAGTTGTTAGGGTTAAAGATGGGTTAAGTGTTGGATGATTGATGGTTGTAGACAAACATGTTTATACTCCTATTCGATAAAAAAAATCTGAGCCAACGAGTAAGTTATAGCTCAATATTTGGGTAGATATGGGCACAATTAGATTTTACGATTTATACGATTCTCATTGAATAAGCATTTCTCCCCTTAATTATATTACAATACAGTTTCAGCTTATAAAGCATCTAAATTGAGCATATATTATTGAAGCATCTAAATACAACATCCCCAGATGTTATACAGATGCCATGTATGTAATTCTATACTGTGTGGATTAGCTCACAGTTCAACAAAGTTGTTTGAGCATAAGTACTACTTCTAAGCCAGTGCAATTCATCATATAGTTGCCACAAGCAAACATGGGGAGTCGTGCTTGCTTGTGTCATCCACATCGCACGTGTTAATTGGATACAGGAGAGAAGACCGTAGCAAGACAGATGAATGCATAGCAACACGGCCCTCTGCTGTCGACATAACGTGACTCGATTTCCAACACCACGAATTTTCCATGTTTACGTTCCTACATATTCAATGTTATACCAACGGTGATTTGGGGTATACATTTATAAGACTCGGTGCGGTTTCAATCAGACTTTTGTGTGCAATAGTGTCCAGTAATCAGTTTTATTGCGTCAATGTATGTTATTTGTTTGTATTATTGTCGTTAAAGTATGCTGTCGTGTCTTATACAATGATTCTTTCCTGCTTCGGATTATACCATGAATAAACACTGCAATTTGAAATCTGTTAATGCATTTGGCAATTTACTGTCAGTCGCACTGCTTGAAACAAACACAATACAAGGAAACAGAGTATTTAGTGATGTTGCTGCGTGCACAAACATATACAAAAAAACGAAACACATTTAATCAATAACACTATGTGGCCTTTAAAAGTAAAAATGAAAAAAGGCGACGTTTCAGGCAATGGCCCTTCTTTGTAGCACATACGAATGTAGGCCTACGTCTCGCGTAAACAAGTGCATCGACTGTAGTTGGAGCCTACACGTGATTTAAAATTAGGTTTAGCCAACAAAAAATGAACGTTTATAAAATTGAAATGTAAATAGTTTATAGTAAATAGATCAAGTGTCGTCCCTTTAAAACAACATTAGATAAACAGGTCATTGCAATATAAGCGCTATTAAAGTCTAATGTGCGCGTTTTATTGACAGTGTTTACAAAACAAGCTGGTATTTTTCAGTATATATGTAAAGCTAACGCCGTGTCCAAGTGTTAATATTATCGATTCGCAGTTTAACTGATTACTTTTGGTAAATGTAATTTATTGACCACACTACATTGACCATCTCAGCCATAGCCGTAACAGCCCCCCCCCCCCCACCTCATGCCCACCCCCGATCGAGGCTATTTATTTACTTCTATGCCCGACGCATTGTTACGTCCGAGGACATCTTCTGGGTTCTTTCGGTAAAGTCACGTAGAATGGAAATAATAAAATAAAACATAATAAAATTATTCTCACGACGTTTCGGCCACAATGCAAGCAGCCGTCCTCAGGTGAAGACCAGGTCTGCCATTCAGACGCTCTCTCCCCGACAGACCTGGTCTTCACCTGAGGACGGCTGCTTGCGTTGTGGCCGAAACGTCGTGAGAATTAGTTTATTATTTTTATTTTATTATTTTATTATTTCCATTCTACGTGACTTTACCGAAAGAACCAAGAAGATGAATCCCTGCAGTCACGAAAGCTTTAAATGGAAAAGTCCGAGGACATTTCACGCGTGGTCACGAAAACTACAACAACAACAAAAACCCTCAACAAAACCGCCACGAAAGCTTGCGCACAGATAATCAACCCCTAACACCGAAATGTGTGAGTGTGTGTGTTTCAAATTAAATGTGGACAAGGCTAACGAAGACACACTTGCAATGCAGGATTGTATATATATGTATGTTAAACATAAACAGAAACATATGTGCAAGATCGCCAAAGCAGCAACTATGTAACATAATTTTCACATACATGCAATGTATGTGCTTAGTGACAGTATTATATTTTCTTGTAATACAAACCTGATGCGTGCTTTTCTAGCTTTGTCTATTTCTTTTGGCTAACAATGAAGCAAATGAAAACAAATCTCACTTTTCGAATGTTATTGTTAAAACCACAGTTGCCAATATGACTGGGAAGAACTGCGCTAAAATATCAGCAGCCCGAATTCCACTCCCGACCACAGCTAGCAAGAGTTGCACGGGATATGTGAACCGGTCCTGCATCTATCCCAGCTTCACCGACTCGCACTGACCAGCGTGGTGAAGTATGGTCAAAAAGTCCCCACTTAACCGAGACGACGCGACGAGGCCTTCCTTCATCCAGCAGTGGAATTGAAAACAATCCGTGCATTATTACACCAGTCTACAACGCTACATCGGAAATGTCTCAGAATCAAAGAGCCAAACATAAGATGCCCTTACATTAAACAGAACACGCACGTATTACAACTTGATTGATTCGATTCACTCGTGGAAATGCTGCTGCTGATGATGATGCTCATGAACACAAAAAGACAAAGACTTCCCATATAGCCTTAACAGACTCTTGGGGCAAGTGCTGTTAGCCAGCAACTGTGAAGGCTGGCACGGAACACGAGGCGGTGGGTGGCCAGCACCACCCCCGGCCGCTTTTGTCCCCCCAGTAGCGATGTTTTACATAACGCACCAGATACTCATTTGAGGCTGAGTCGACCTAGGGGAGGCCACGGACCGGTTCAGATTACCGTCACTGGTGATGGCCGTGAACGGGAATGGAACTCGTGGGTCGCCGCGTTCGTAGCGCAGCACGTTCACCGCTGCACTTCCGCTGGAGAACGATACCCATCCACAACCACTTCGCGTTACCAGCACCCACACTCCATGCAAGGGGGCGGGGGGGGAATTAACGTCTGCTGCGACACGCAGGGGCACAGACACTCCACACACTCCCCTCTCCATGAACAACTCCACTCGCTGCTCATCTCCCCCGTGGAGTGGAGTGATTCCGTGACTGCCGCACATCACCGGTGTATATGCATGCATCTGCACGCCTAGGCGTAAACATGTAATTACACGTAGCTATTTTGCCAGCTGATCAATTCTAACCTTTATATATTTTTTTAAAGACGTAATTTATGTGTCGACGGACTCTAGTATTGGGGAGAATATGTGGCTAGAAGAGAGGTGGAAGGGGGTGAATCAACTTGGGGAGGATTACGAAAACAGCGGTCAGATACATGTGAGCAGTGGAATATCTAAAATGTATTCACAAAGACAAAAAAATCCCCCGGATAGCCTTGACAGACTTTTGGGGCAAATGCTGTTAGCGACTGCCTATGAACGCTTAGCACGGCACACGATGGTATGGGTGTCCAGCACCACGCCCGGTCACATTTGTCTCCCCAGTGGCAATGTTTCACACACCGCACTGCACCAGGTACTCATTTGAGACAAAGTCGACCTCGGGGAGGCCCAGTACCAGTTCAGACAATCGTCACTGGTGTTGGCCGTGAGCAAGAATCAATCTCGAGTCGCCGGGTTCGTAGGCGCTGCGCACTAACCGCCACACGACCGCGACACGACGCAGTGACAAACACGCATGGCGCTGCCTCCCCACACTGTTGCAGGTCATCAGATATATCTAACCATACTTCGCCTCGCTGGTCAGTTCGGATTGAATAAAGGCGTGGGCCACAGTGCAGCAAACCAATTGATCGTTGCCGCACTGCCCTCTGCTGCCCACAACACAGGCATGCTGTTTATGCATCGGGGTCACCCATCCAAGCACTCTCCAGGCTCAACTCGGTTTAGCGCTTTGTATCCAGCAAGATTGGCACATTCTAGGCGATGTGGTCAAAGTCTATGGGGGATACACAATTTTAGAAAATCCAAGCTTAATAAGTCAAACTATTTGAATTTCGTGTGATACAACAATTTGCTGAGATTCCAATAAAGGCATCATCTTGCACAACTCAAGGACGGACAGGCCGTGTGTTCATGATTATTTGAGTTCAATTCCTTGTCTGGGTCAACTCAGCCATTGCTTTCCCTCGTGTTTCCAAAATAAATACCACCCGTTCAGATGGCTTCCCCACGCATTGCAGTCAAGAGCAACTTGTTCCATTCAAATGGTGGCCCCCTGCCTTATAAACGTGGAGTTTCCTCCATTGACTCAAGGCCACCAAATGCCGACGAGCATCCTCAAATTATTTAAAGATATAGGAGGTAACGTGGAGTCAGATGCAAATGCCAAAGAGTCACAGAGCAGCATTGGGTTGCATTACCACCTGTGCCAAGATCTGGAACTCAATTCCATTAAGAGCCGAGTGGGTGTGCAGCCTAGAATTCGAATGACCGTATTAGACTTCCAAACCACCCCCCGTCATCTCCACCATCTATTATTCAGTTCTTGCATAAATATAATTGTCACCAATATGATGTTTTTCTAACGTTGTTATGATAAACAAAGCATGTTTTTAAACATACATGTGAAAACAGTGTGTGCAAGAAAAGATTTCTAAACACCCACTCTTTACACGATGATCAATGAAGCATTGTTGGTAAGCAATATTGGGCTTCACTCAATTTATTTCGGCTCGAGGTCACACTCTATGGGCAGTTCACTGATGATGATGATGTTGGTATATTGGTACGCGTTTAGCACGAGACCCTTAAACACAATGGAAAATTTTGGGCTAAACCTGCTATGAGTGAAACCAATCCACCTAATTCAACCAAATGCTGCTCTGCCACTTTTTAAAAAAATGTGATCTTTTATTTGTTCATATTTCTGGGACTATGAGCATAGACTTGAATATATTGTGTCATGTTTTAACTTTTCAGCTTTCAGAATATATTGTGTCATGTTTTAAATTTTCAGCTGTTCTGAAACTTCACAATTCACACGAGACACTCATTCAGACAGCATTTCCAATAAAACTTTGAAGATTTACACCCTGATATAGCATTAGACAAAATGACTGGGCAGACACTTTACCAACTATTAACAAACTGTATTTCAGTTTGGTGTTGAAATCTCGAGTACTGAACAATGTATGGTGGTGGTTATGTGGCAGCTATTCAGGCCAAAGAGCTACAAAGCACTAACAGTGATTAATTGTTACTAAGTGCCAAGTATGAGGGCAGCTAATAGATAAAATTCCCCACAATCAAATCCTTTACGGTCACTTCTGAGATGAGCCTATTGAATCAAAGACAACTCTTTGTAAGTTTATGGGAACACACCGGAGCGATGCTTATACGTCCATAATTGAAGAGCCACGTCCCAAATTGAAGATAGAAGAAAGAAAAAGGCCAAGAGACGTCAGTAGGAGATGCGTAAAACAGACGTCGATGGTGGAATTTAATCAATAGCAGGCGACACCGAGAACATGTGCAGGATTTTGCACGTTTCAATAAGACGCGCGGGCCCAGATTGATTTTCTAATGGAAATCCTTCCTTACCATTTCCAGAATAAAATAGCTTTTATGTTAACGTGACACTACACCACCTGCCACGAAATGTGGCCCCGTGGATGTCTTTGTTGGCCTCCAAATGGAATCATCGCCACAAGTGTGTGACTCACGAGACCCCGACGTTATGCGCTATATCGATATGGAGTGCGTATATAACAAGCGGCGACGCATGCCCCAGCAGTCGTCCCGTGACTATAACCGCCTCTGATGGGGACCCAACGTCGTCTCTCATCGAGTCTACTCTGACGCGTGAAGGGCACACGAGGGGCCCG